ATTTTTCCCACTTGTGACGAATGCAGCTATCAATTTTTTTTGCATGCTAGCATGCTAGTTAACATTCGTGTCAGTAAGCTGTTGGCTCTCATGATGGTCAATAGAATCTTCCTGCCTATTCGTGGCAGCCAGCTATAGGCTCTCACTCTGGCCAGTAGAAAATGGCTGCAAACTACATGAAAACTGCCGTAGAAGCATGAAAAAATCATTTATTCCCACTATTGATGAGAGTTAGGAAATGCAAAGTTGGTCTTGGCCTTCTCGCTAACTTGGAGCATGTGCATTTAAATTTTGGTGCAAATCCGTCGAAAATTGCGGCTGTGCATTTGTTCCACACACACACACACATTCTGCCTTTCATAGATAGAGATTAAATAAGACAACAAAAGTTGGTTTGTGGTTAAATTAACCACCCAACCAAAATAAGAACACACTTTTATAAAAAATAATTTTATTTTGTAAAAATCATAAAATGTATATAAAAAAAATTCATTTACAATTGAAGATGTGTTTGTTTTGGTCTAACATTACAAAAAGAAGAAAGTAACTTAAAAAGGAGACATGAAGTGATGATAATAATAATGAAAAAATGAAATAATAAATAAAAAATAAAGTTGTAACTTTGAAGAGAAATGTATTTCATTTTCATAGCAGTTTCAAAACCTAAAATCTTACTATCAATCAACCCTCAGAATTTTGGAGAGAAATAAAGTTTCCTTCCTTTTGCTAGCAATTCCATTATTTTATTTACTTAAAATGTAGATTTTATCGCAGACTTTACCTGTCAATCAACCCTTTTAATTTTAAAGAGAAATATTTACACTATTTACTGGCTCAGTGGATAAAAACATTGGTTGAAATAATCCAGTTACTTGACACAAAAGAGATGGAGGTTCAATACCAGGCCACAGCAGAGGACCCCCCCCCACTAAAAAAAAAACACAAAAAACGTAAAGATGAGTTACTGAAGGGAAATAGCTGAAACCGAGATATATCCAGAAAAGACATAGCATGTGGAACTAGAACAATCTACCCTGGTAGACAAAATAAAGGGTTCAGTTTGAAATTCCAACATATATTACCTGAAGAAGGCCAGAGTGTATAATGGCTGAAATGTTATGAATATGATAATAAAGATGAGGACAACAGTCCAAACAATGTAAATAGTTGCAATAATTCATCTCAGAAATATAGACAGATGTTGAAAAGAAATATATTTAATTCATTTTGATGCCAAAAACTTGTTTAATAGGATTGGAGACCTTACTTATCAATCAGCCAATTTTGTAATTTTGAAATGAAACATATTTAATACATTTTGATAACAATTTCATTATTCTATTTAGTTAAAGCATAGTTTTATTGGGGACCTTATTTCTCAATCAACCCTGGTAATTTGGAAGACAAATATACTAGATTTTGATAGCAATTTCAATATTCCATTTGGAGACTTGTTTTATAGGATTTGGGACCTTATGAATGAACACTTGTAATTTTAAAGAAATATAAATCCATTTTGATATCAATTTCATTTTTTTAAAGGATCAAAGAACCTCTTTTATCATTCAAGATTTGAGCTGAGAAGATTCATTATTGGTGGCCACAATCTTAACAATATAAGATATGCGGATGACACAGTGCTGATAGCAGACACGGAAAGGAAACTACAAAGCCTCCTATAGAAGGCAGCGAAGGAAAGCAAGAAGAAAGGACTAAGCATAAACTTCAAGAAAACAGAATGCATGCTTATCAGGATGAGCCGAAAATGTAAATTACAGGTGGGGATACTAAAATCAAGCAGGTATAGAAATTTAAATATCTGGGAAGTGTTTTCAAAGAGGATAGAAAGTGTGACACTGAGATCTGAAGACATATTGGGATGGCCAAAGATGCATTCCAAAAGCTAAGCAGAATATTAAGAGACAGAAAAATTTCGTTAGAAACAAAGAAAAACGGATTAAACTGTTACGTGATATCTGTCTTCAAGTAGGGCAGCGAATGCTGGACAATCTCCTCAAAGATGAAAAACAGACTTGAAGAAATATAAACGTGGTTCTACAGAAAGATGCTGAGGATGCAATGGACTGAACATGTGAACAATGACAAGGTTTTGGAGAGAATGGAAATGAAGAGGTAATTTATACTTAACATCAGGAAGAGGCAGTTGAAATTTCTGGGGCCCGTAATGAGGAAGGAGGGGTTGGAAAACCTGATACAGGACAGATTGAGGGACAGACGAAAGCAGCGTGTAATATACCCAATGGGCTTGAATAAATGGATGGTAGAACAAGGTTTGAGAGAAGTAGCAAAAAGACAAAACTTATTAACAGCTACAAGGAACAGAAAGATATGGAGGGCCATGATCGCCTACGTCTGATGGGACTTGGACTATAAAAGAAGAAGCTGTTTGATAAACAGAGAACTTTGCAGCATTTTTCTCACTCTGCCTTACAATTATGAGAGCCAGAAAATAGGTATAATGACTAGCAGCAGAACAGTCTAGGGAGATCTGTACTCATGCCTTCCCGAATAATATCAAACTTAAAATGAAACCAGTTATTGAAATCTTAATTTTTGATAGTGTTTTTCAATTTGCAACCAGCAGAGCCATTTTAAACCTCTTCAAAATTAAATATAAGAAAATATGTTTTTATAGGCGGGGGTACAAAATTTTATTATTAAAGTAAAAACAGACATATTAAGAGAAATAATAATGTAATAGGGAAATGCAGATCAAAGATTATATATATATATATATAAAGTAGACATTGAAGTCAACACCCATAGGTGACAGTCTGCTTCATGCTTAAGCACAATTGTTAGGCCTGATGATTGTATTTAAGCATGAGACAGACTCTGGGTGTTAACTTCAATGTCCACTTTATATATATATATATATATATATATATATATATATATACACATACTATAAAGAATTAAACTGAAAAAAGTTGAAAATCAATAAAAAACATTGACCTATTCTTCTCTCTTCAAAACTCAATCAAGGAATAAGGAACAAGAATGAGTATTTATTCTTCATAAAGGACTGAAACTGAAGTGTATTTAATATAATAATAAAAAAAGATGGACACCTACATGAAAATATCAGTTTGATCATTTATGTGAATTCACCTTAAATGACTTGAAATTGGTTCCATCAAACATTAATAAAGAAATGTTTTTTCTGCCGGACAGATTATTTCCTTTTACTTTTGTTGAGTGCACAGACAGGCCAGTAGACATAATACCCACATTTAAAAAAAAAAATGGGTATCTATTCCAAAAAGATATCCATTAAAAAAATATTTAAAGTAATAAAAATGTCAGATTAAAATAAATCCATATATATATATATATATATATATATATATATATATGCATATATGTGTGTATATATATATATATACACAAATGAATAAATATAAAAATGTATGTGTAAGTGTTCAAAAAAATATATATATATATATATATATATATGCACATATCGTGTGTGTATATATATAATATACACAAATGAATAAATATAAAAAATGTATGTGTAAGTGTTCAAAAATATATATATATGTGTGTGTGTGTATCCTTTGGTGTAAGAAAAACAATATAAATATAGAAAAGATATTATATATATATTTGTATATATATATACACACACACACATAAACATGTGTATATGTGTGTGTCTGTTGTCTGTATATATATATATATATATATATATATATATATTTCTTCATAAAGGACTGGAAACTGAAGCGTATTTAATATAATAATAAAAAAAGATGGACACCCACATGAAAATATCAGTTTGATCATTTATGTGAATTCACCTTGAATGATTGAAATTGGTTCCATCAAACATTAATAAAGAAATGTGTATATATATAGAAGTGATAAAGAAGTGTGTATATATATATATATATATATGTGTGTGTATATATATATATATATATATACACACACACACATACATGTGTATATATAAATATGGGATAACAATATATAAATTTTTATACACGTGTGTGTGTGTGTGTATATATACACACACACACAAATATGGGATAATGATATATAATTTTTTATATATCATAGACTGTTTTGCAGGAAAGATATATGACAAAATTGAAAGTTTTTTGTGTGACATCTATGCATGACTTAGTTTTTGGGATTCTCTTCACATTTTAATCAATATACACACCATTGTTATTTCTTGATAGAGCTCTGAAGAGTGACGAACAATAACTCATCAGCTTTCGTTACTTTATTTTTTTCATTTCTCACTTTATGATAATTATATATCTTTTTTTTTCTCCTTATATTTTACTACCCTTTATGAGGTACAGTGAAAACAATAGATAATGTAACTATATATAGACTACTTGGAAAAACAAGGTGTAAAGGTAATTCTTTTTCATGGTGGAATTCTGCATTATATATATATATATATATATATATATATATATATATATATAAAATATTTTCTGTTTATACATTATTTTTATAGATACAATTTATTTAAGTAAATGCTCTGCTTATAATAAACAGTATTAATTACATTTACTGGTCTGAATGTTTGAGAAATTTTGTAGAAAATATGCATTTCCACCAACAAGAATCAAACCTGTGCCCTATACAGAACTATCATTTGATCTGATGTGCTACACCACTCAGCTACACAGAAGCATTTCAATTCTTGCCAGAGATGCATAATTTCTACCAAATTTTTTGGGACATTCAGGTTGGTAAGTGTAATTAATACTGTTTATTTAAAAAACAGAGCATTTACCTAAATAAATTGTATCTATAAAAATAACGTATAAACAGACAGAAAAATAATAATTGAATTAATCCCGGAATTAATATATATATATTATATATATATATATATATATATATATATATATATGAATGAATGAAAAGTAATGGATTTTTTATTTATACACATAACAGATTTTATCACTTTGGTAGTAAAATATCTCTAAAATGTTTTCAGAAAGCAATAATTGTCACAAATAATCAAAATCCTCATTGTCAGAAAAGAGAGAATTGTTTTCTTCATCGTCATTTTCTTGAACTTTGTCAGTGACTATTGGTTCTGGTTGTGGCAACTCAGTGGCCATTTTGGAGGGGATACTAACTAACTGTTCAATTTCCTCCAGCAGAGCTGCTTTTTTCTCCTCCAACAGCAGCTGCAATAAAGAAAATGACAGTTTAGCAAAAAAAACAAAAGAGAAAATGCATGGCAGGTTCTATGATTTTGGAAAGAGTGAATAAATATTTGTGGATGTTAACAAAGGTGTGGTTTTTGTGCGTATTTTTTAGGTGAAGGTGCATATTTAATATATAAACAAAGATAGAAGCAGAGAAAAAAAAACTTGATACTGTATTTAATTTTTTGCAGATTAAAGTTGGCTGAAAAAGCTTGAAGCCAGAAGGGAGTTCCACAAGTGAGAAGTTTGAGAAAAGAAACTGTTAGCATAGATCTTATAGCTACATCTAGCCATTTCAACTGTAAATTGATGAGACCTCATCGTCAGTCTTGTATTGTGCTAAAATATACAAAGTCTAGATAACATAGTGCAGAACTCATCTGAACAATTACCATGAAAATATTTATAGAAAAGGCACAGGGAGGCAACTTTATGGTGGTGAAAAAGTGACTAAAGTTGAGATGCCACATCAGGACCAATAATATGGTTGATTCTTCTTTGGATTTTATCAAGAGCTCTAGATAAATTGCAATATGGTCTGGAGCCCCTACTGTTTGCCTCGGGGTTCTTGATAAGATCCAGAGACGGATATGCAAGATAATTGGCCCTGATCTGGCATCACGTCTGCAGTCGCTCTCTCACAGACGTGTCATCGCCTCTCGCTGTCTTTTTTACAAATACTTTCATGGTAATTGCTCTGATGAGCTGCTTTCGCTGGTTCCGAGACTTCACGAATTCAAGCATCCTACAAGGCTGGCATCCTGCTCTCACCCTTTCACTGTTGAAACTGTTAAATGTAGCCGCCTCTTCTACTCCAATAGCTTCATATCTCGCACCTCTCGCCTGTGGAACTCCCTTCCCTATTCCTGTTTCCCTGATAGCTATAATCTCCAACTATTCAAATGTAATGTCAATTGACATCTCCAGTTGCCTTGAGCTATCCACTATCCTTCTCCTTATCCTTTCCTCTATCATTTCTACCTGCTCCATATTCCTTTCTCCTCATCCTTTCCCTCTAAAAGGAACCTGCTCCATATTCCTTTCTCCTCATCCTTTCCCTCTATCATTCCTACCTGCTCCACTATCCTTTCTCCTCATCCTTTCCTCTATCATTCCTACCTGCTCCACTATCCTTTCACCTTATTCTTTCCTCTATCATTCCTACCTGCTCTACTATCCTTTCTCCTCATCCCCTTTCCTCTATCATTCCTACCTGCTCCACTATCCTTTCACCTTATTCTTTCCTCTAACATTCCTACCTGCTCTACTATCCTTTCTCCTCATCCTTTCCTACCTGCTTCACTATCCTTTCACCTTATTCTTTCCTCTAACATTCCTACCTGCTCTACTATCCTTTCTCCTCATCCTTTCCTCTATCATTTCTACCTGCTCCATATTCCTTTCTCCTCATCCTTTCCTCTATCATTTCTACCTGCTCCATATTCCTTTCTCCTCATCCTTTCCTCTATCATTCCTACCTGCTCCACTATCCTTTCTCCTCATCCTTTCCTCTATCATTCCTACCTGCTCCACTATCCTTTCACCTTATTCTTTCCTCTATCATTCCTACCTGCTCTACTATCCTTTCTCCTCATCCTTTCCTCTATCATTCCTACCTGCTCCACTATCCTTTCACCTTATTCTTTCCTCTAACATTTCCTACCTGCTCTAACTATCCTTTCTCCTCATCCTTTCCTCTATCATTTCCTACCTGCTCCACTATCCTTTCACCTTATTCTTTTCCTCTAACATTCCTACCTGCTCTACTATCCTTTCTCCTCATCCTTTCCTCTATCATTCCTACCTGCTCCACTATCCTTTCACCTTATTCTTTCCTCTAACATTCCTACCTGCTCTACTATCCTTTCTCCTTATTCTTTCCTCTATCATTCCTACCTGCTCTACTATCCTTTCTCCTCATCCTTTCCTCTATCATTCCTACCTGCTCCACTATCCTTTCACCTTATTCTTTCCTCTAACATTCCTACCTGCTCTACTATCCTTTCTCCTCATCCTTTCCTACCTGCTTCACTATCCTTTCAATCTTTATTCTTTCCTCTAACATTCCTACCTGCTCTACTATCCTTTCTCCTCATCCTTTTCTATCATTTCTATCATTCCTTTTCCCTCATCCTTTCCTCCTCATTTCTACCTGCTCCATTCCTTTCTCCTCATCCTTTTCCTCTATCATTCCTACCTGCTCCACTATCCTTTCTCCCTCATCCTTTCCTCTATCATTTCCTACCTGCTCCACTATCCTTTCTCCTCATTCTTTCCTCTATCATTCCTACCTGCTCTACTATCCTTTCTCCTCATCTTTTCCTCTATCATTCCTACCTGCTCCACTATCTTTCACCTTTATTCTTTCCTCTAACATTCCTACCTGCTCTACTATCCTTTCTCCTCATCCTTTCCTCTATCATTCCTACCTGCTCCACTATCCTTTCACCTTATTTTTCTAACATTCCTTATACTATTTCCTCATCCTTTCCTCTATCATTCCTACCCTCCACTATCCTTTCACCTATTCTTTCCCTAACATTCCTCCTGCTCTACTATCCTTTCTCTCCTCATCCTTTCCTCTATCATTCCTACCTGCTCCACTATCCTTTCACCTTATTCTTTCCTCTAACATTCCTACCTGCTCTACTATCCTTTCTCCTCATCCTTTCCTCTATCATTCCTACCTGCTCCACTATCCTTTCACCTTATTCTTTCCTCTATCATTCCTACCTGCTCTACTATCCTTTCTCCTCATCCTTTCCTCTATCATTCCTACCTGCTCCACTATCCTTTCACCTTATTCTTTCCTCTATCATTCCTACCTGCTCTACAATCCTTTCTCCCCTCATCCTTTCCTCTATCATTCCTACCTGCTCCACTATCCTTTCACCTTATTCTTTCCTCTAACATTCCTACCTGCTCTACTATCCTTTCTCCTCATCCTTTTCCTCTATCATTCCTACCTGCTCCACCTATCCTTTCACCTTATTCTTTTCCTCTAACATTCCTACCTGCTCTACTATCCTTTCTCCTCATCCTTTCCTCTATCATTCCTACCTGCTCCACTATCCTTTCACCTTATTCTTTCCTCTAACATTCCTACCTGCTCTACTATCCTTTCTCCTCATCCTTTCCTCTATCATTCCTACCTGCTCCACTATCCTTTCACCTTATTCTTTCCTCTAACATTCCTACCTGCTCTACTATCCTTTCTCCTCATCCTTTCCTCTATCATTCCTACCTGCTCCCACTATCCTTTCACCTTATTCTTTCCTCTAACATTCCTACCTGCTCTACTATCCTTTCTCCTCATCCTTTCCTCTATCATTCCTACCTGCTCCACTATCCTTTCACCTTATTCTTTCCTCTAACATTCCTACCTGCTCTACTATCCTTTCTCCTCATCCTTTCCTCTATCATTTCTACCTGCTCCATATTCCTTTCTCCTCATCCTTTCCTCTATCATTTCTACCTGCTCCATATTCCTTTCTCCTCATCCTTTCCTCTATCATTCCTACCTGCTCCACTATCCTTTCTCCTCATCCTTTTCCTCTATCATTCCTACCTGCTCCACTATCCTTTCACCTTATTCTTTCCTCTATCATTCCTACCTCCTCTACTATCCTTTCTCCTCATCCTTTCCTCTATCATTCCTACCTGCTCCACTATCCTTTCACCTTATTCTTTCCTCTAACATTCCCTACCTGCTCTACTATCCTTTCTCCTCATCCTTTCCTCTATCATTCCTACCTGCTCCACTATCCTTTCACCTTATTCTTTTCCTCTAACATTCCTACCTGCTCTAATATCCTTTTCTCCTCATCCTTTCCTCTATCATTCCTACCTGCTCCACTATCCTTTCACCTTATTCTTTCCTCATTTAACATTCCTACCTGCTCTACTATCCTTTCTCCTCATCCTTTCCCTCTATCATTCCTACCTGCTCCACTATCCTTTCACCTTATTCTTTCCTCTAACATTCCTACCTGCTCTACTATCCTTTCTCCCCTCATCCTTTCCTCTATCATTCCTACCTGCTCCCTATCCTTTCACCTTATTCTTTCCTCTATCATTCCTACCTGCTCTACTATCCTTTCTCCTCATCCTTTCCTCTATCATTCCCTACCTGCTCCACTATCCTTTCACCTTATTCTTTCCTCTATCATTCCTACCTGCTCTACTATCCTTTCTCCTCATCCTTTCCTCTATCATTCCTACCTGCTCCACTATCCTTTCACCTTATTCTTTCCTCTATCATTCCTACCTGCTCTACTATCCTTTCTCCTCATCCTTTCCTCTATCATTCCCTACCTGCTCCACTATCCTTTCACCTTATTCTTTCCTCTAACATTCCTACCTGCTCTACTATCCTTTCTCTCCTCATCCTTTCCTCTATCATTTCTACCTGCTCCATATTCCTTTCTCCTCATCCTTTTCCTCTATCATTCCTACCTGCTCCACTATCCTTTCTCCTCATCCTTTCCTCTATCATTCCTACCTGCTCCACTATCCTTTCACCTTATTCTTTCCTCTATCATTCCTACCTGCTCCACTATCCTTTCTCCTCATCCTTTCCTCTATCATTCCTACCTGCTCCACTATCCTTTCACCTTATTCTTTCCTCTATCATTCCTACCTGCTCCTCCTATCCTTTCTCCTCATCCTTTCCTCTATCATTCCTACCTGCTCCACTATCCTTTCACCTTATTCTTTCCTCTATCATTCCTACCTGCTCTACTATCCTTTCTCCTCATCCTTTCCTGTATCATTCCTACCTTCTCCACTATCCTTTCTCCTCATCCTTTCCTCTATTATTCCTACCTGCTCCATTATCTTTTCTCCTCATCCTTTTCTCTATAATTCTTACCTGCACTCGCTCCAAATCCTCTATAACCCCTTGTGTGCTAGTGGCTTCCCGCCTCGCTAGGGGTGAAATGCTTAAAAAAAAAAAAAAAGAAGCACCAGACCATATGTCGCATTAATATTCTAAGCATGGATGAATGGTAGACTTAAGATATGTTAGAAAGATTCTGGAAAGGAAAATTGTTTTGCGCAACATAGCGAACCAACTTTTTTAGAAGGTGACTTGGCAATGGTTTCAATATAGTCTTTCCAGTTCATGCCAGTCAAGAACATTAGCCAATTTGAGACTTTATCAAACTGATAAGACTTATTATTGAGGCTGAAGTAAATCGTTGTGTCATCATCGTAGATACCAAGTCAAGAGCTGATGCCATCAGGAAGGTCATTAATGAAAATTAAAAACAAAGTAGGACCAAGGATGGGACCCTGGGGGGTGGGAGACCTACATTAATACAAAAAGATAGAAGAGTAGCCATTCATGGATCACTTTCATTTCACAATTTGATAGGAAAGACAGGATCAGTTCAAAAATTTGTCAGGGGACACCCTAACTTTTCAGCTTGTGGAGAAGACATGTATGCCAAACATTGTCAAAAGTTACAGCCTGAGCTTCACCATTTTTATCTAGTGCTTAGTAGACTTTTTCCACAATTATCGTCAGTACATCAGCAGTTGACATGGAGAAATGAAAGCCATATTGCTTGTCTGAAAAAAAGCCCAGAGATGCTTAACCAATTCAGCATTGATTAGGGCCTCTAGAAGTTTCTCTAAAAGAGGTAAATGGCTAATAGGCCAATAGTGGGAGGCGTTGGAGTGTTCACCTGAGTTTATAAAGACTGGAACAACAGAGGAGGACTTCCAGCAGGTAAAAAAAGCAGGTATTTATTATACAGTTTTGAGAGAACAGGAGCCAGTTCAGGAACAGACTTCTTAATGACTATTACAGGGATATTATTGGGTCCGCATGCTTTGTGGAGATCTCGGTTAAAGATGATAGCAGAAACCATGGAAGGTGTTATATGCATATTACTCAAGAGACTTAGTTCTAATTGTGAAGTTAGGCAAGAATACTCCAGATGGATCAAGAGTAGAGTTTAAGGAGAAATTACAGGTAAAGCATTCAGCTTTATCAGCAGATGATGTTAACACCTGGAATTGATTGAAGAGATGAGGAACGGAAAACTTATACTTATTTAATACACTATTACAGAGCTGCAAGTAATCACGAGAGTTAAAGCTTTTAGATACAGTACAGAACCATATTCTTTCAGTAAACAGAGACATAGCTCCTTGGAGAACAAATTCACATTTATTATGTGCAGTGTCTGTTGTGACAGGAGATGTCATGCTGGTATAGCTGAAAATAGTAGTTCCTGTGAGCTATAGTGGAGGAGGTTTCATCTGCAATTTCTGAAAAGGAATGAAAGTATCTATGCTGGCTTTGACCCAACAGGAAACCTCAGTGTTGTAATTTTTAATCTGAATGTTAAAAATGTCAACCTCGAGGTGGGGAGGGTGTCTCAAAGAAAGTAACAGATTTAGTCCCAATTCACATGATGGTAGCAGAAAGAGGTCTTATGAATAGTAGGTTTGTATTTAATAGATGAATGGCATGAAATATTAATGCATACTACAGATTCAAGTTTCCAAAAGGGCAGTGTTGTGAAGCTTGACAAGAGTGAGGAGAGGAGGTAAGAAATGAATCAAGTATAGAAGTATACTGCTCAGATTTGCTAGGGAAACAAGTAGAGAAATCCATGATTTGAGTAAGGGACTGAGGAATGGAAAAATTAGAATGTTTAAGCCATGTGTTGTAGTGTGCATTAAAATCACTGAAAAGATGTTTGCAGATGAATGGGGAGAGAGTGCCATTTCCATACTGTCAGAAATTATGTCTAATATACTGCAGTCCTGAGAAGAGGGGGAATGATAAATGAAAAATAGATAGCTAACAGAGTGCAATAGTGAAAGTCAAAAGCACATGAATATGTCTAGAGACTTGAGTGACAATTTTCCTCTGCCATTGGAAGATTATCCCGGATGTAAACACCAAGGCCATGTATATGAATACTGGAATCTTTTTGGCAGAAGTGAAGAACAGACAATTTATTGGTAGCAATGGAATAATTTAAGTTGGTTTCACAAAGTACAAAGATATTTGGTGACCATTCCAGGTGAAAAGATTCTATACTGCTGAAGTTGGAGCAGATACCACAAACTCTGGAGAAAGAAAGGTTGAGTGGAGTAGGTGGTTTTTTGATTTTTGTTTACTGGTTTTCTCATACTTTTTTCATTGTATTTGTTATAAGACTTGTATTGAGGAAAAAGAGAAAAGGAAAAGGCCATTTAGAAGATTATTAAAGAAAAGGAAAAGGCCATTTGAAAGATTATTAAAGAAGAAAATGCCATTTGGAAGATTATTAAAGAACAGGAAAAGGCTATTTGGAAGATTATTAAAGAACAGGAAAAGGCCATTTGGAAGATTATTAAAGAAAAGGAAAAGGCCACCATTATTATCACTGTCGTTAATGGCAATACAAACTAACCAGAGCATAACGTGCCCTCAGGTTTGCCTACTGGAAATACATGCAAGGACTCCTACCCATAAGCGATATGGCACTACAAATGCCACAATATTATGTGACTCTCTAAGCACTACCAAAGAGTTCAAGCTAATTACTACCAGCTGGAAGCCACAGCTAGCAAACTGCCAATCTAGGACACTCATAATGAAAAGTCGCAGCTACTGATTAGTTCAATCAACAAAAGGTTAAGACAAATCATTATGGCCTTGGAAGAAGAAAGAACCAGTAATCCATATCTTGAACAAGGAACAGTAATCCATATCTTGAACAAAGAACAAGGGATATCCTCTACTCCTGCCCAATAGACATGGAAGGTGTGCAGACTGGATGATAAGTGATGACAGGTTTGCAGCACAGGAGGTTGAGTGATTTTATCAAGACACCAATTCTAGGAAGATTGTTGAATAAGACTGTAGACCTCAACCAGGCCAAGTGGGGATTACTGGATAATTAATATCATTCTAGGGGTATTCAAGAGTAGGGATCGAAGCAGGAATGGTGTGTCCTATGACCATGACCACTATTACTGTGATAACAGGTGGATTCAAGTAGTTTGAAAATGCAGAAGACATTTTAGATGAAATGAACCAATTGGTTTAGAAGCAAGTTGGGTACTGTTAAAAGACATTCTTATATAGAACCTGTGCCCATATTTATCTGTATATGTGATCATGTTTGCTGATCTTGTGTTAATAAAAACATATATTGAGGGTACTGCAACATTTTTCTTCCCATCACCAGTGTATATTAAATAGTACACAAAAGAAAGACACTTAGACTAACCTTGGCAGAGGCTACCATCTGACGAGCAACTTTTTTGGACAGGTGATCAATACTTCTTACCAAGACACCAATATCAGCACTTGCTATTGATGCTAATGTCTTATAGCCTGCATTGAACAGTTGACTGGCTCGAGCCTTGAAATATACAAAATGGAATGTAGAAAATAATTCAATTTCTAATATATGGCTATAAATTAAAACCTTTATATTTCAATTATATATAAAATAATTATAAAAAATAAATCTAAAAAGATAAATGTATAAAAATTATATATAATATAATTATAATTTACATTATTTATATTCAAACTATTGTCCTCATCTTTGTTCTTGTTATCACAACGTTTCGGCAATTGTGCCCTCTGGCCTTCCTCAGGTGTATACAGATCTGGGTAACTTCAAGGAATACTGAACTGAACTGGTTATTTAATCTAAGTGGGTAGACTGTTCTCATACCACTGCTCACGTCTAGAGATATTGTTTAGTTCTTATTTTTATTGCGACTGAGTAGTGAGTTTGATTCCCATTTGGGTCTCCACACTTTCGGCCTTGTATCACATGTAAGCTACGCTTAGAAAATAAAAGCTTACTTCAATGTGGTGTAATGGTTAGCTAGCTTGTCTTACTAGATAAATTATGACTGAATAATGAGTTCAAACCTCACTGGGTGCACCCATATTTTGGCCTTGTTCCAAATTTAAGCTACACTTTGAAATAAAAAGGCACCTTGATGTGGTGTAATGGTTAACAAACTTGTCTCACTAGAACAATTAGAAAATCATGATACAGACCGACATAAATAGTCAGTGTTTTTTTTTTGCTGAGGCAGGACCAGAATTAATCTTTGCCAAAAGCAAAGGTGTAGGTCCTGCTTGGCATAGGATTTGTTGTAATGATTTGAAGCAAGGAATTACAAGGCCAGTTGCTCTTCCTGTTGTCCAACTCAGACACTCACAGTAGTTCAAGTACACCAAGTGTTTTTATCAAGATACCATCTTTAGGATATTGCCATTCAAAGTTTAAGACCTCATCATAACCTTATATATATATATATATATATATATAGAGAGAGAGAGAGAGAGAGAGAGACAGATAGATAGAGAGCCTCAGACAAGACTGAAAGTACTTGGGAAAATAAAAATTATTTGAAACCAAATTTTGGTATTTTTTTAATCAATTTTCTACAGCTACAAAGAAATTGATTTGTGAACTCGAAAGGGTTAAAACCAAAATAAACAAACATATTATGTCTAAATTATTTAACCAAACCTGTTTATATACACACACACAGACACACACACACATATATATATATATATATATATATATATATATATATAAAGAAATATAGTCTTAAGGTGTGCTATATTTATGGAATAAAGTGCTCAATATCAGAGATAGAGCGTGTGTACTGACGATTGCATATAGCATGAAACAGACTGTCGCCTCTAAGTGTTGACTTCTATGTTCACTTTTATATATATATATATATATATATATATATATATATATACATACATGTGTGTGTGTATGCATGTTGGCAATTCCCCTCTAATTTTCATCCTGTGGGGTGGGGTGACATATCACCCTCCTCACCAGATGTGCTAGTGTGGGAGCTGGTTTAGATGCTAACCACCTGTCCATGTGGCAGGCTGTACTGAGTATCAAATCTAAGCCAGAGCTGATCTGAGAGTTCAGATTTTAGTCAAGTTTATTACATTCATGAGCAAATACTCTTGAGAAAGTTATGAATACATCTCTTTGTGTGTCTCTATGGGAAACTAGGCTCTTTAGCCTTGGTTGTCAACCACAGTAGGAGAAAGACAACTCAGTATTCAAAACTTGAGGATGGTCATTTGGAGATCCTGTGCACTAGTTCTCTGTATTTGGTTCTTCCAAAAAAAATGTGGTTGGTTCTGCACAATAAAAGTATATGTGTAGATAATCAGGCTGCTTGGAAAAGAATTGTATACATTTCTGGGTTTGGGGAGGTAAATAAATGTAAAGGTAAATGTTTACTCTCAAGAGCACAACTTACTTTCTTCACACCAGGAATTTCTAGCAAGGGAACAAGGTCAGCAACAACATTATATGACAACTGTTGAATAAATGGTGTAAACAGAGATTGGAACATCCATAATTCTTCTAGTTCCTGAAAATGAAGAATACCAATTATGAAAATGTAAGCATATAGACCCGGGGGTTTCGCAAAAGTAAAGGGCTTAACAGCGGAGAACCTTTTTAGTGCCATTACCCACTTTCACATGGAAAGATTTTCCACTGCCAACCTGTATAGTAAATGTTCAAAATCATACCAAAATTGTTTGGTAAAAGTTTGTTACTGGTTCATAAACTGACTTTATGATGTAGTAAAAATTACCAAAGGGAGATAACAAATAATACTGACTTATGCAGTTGTTGTTACTATTACTACTATCATATTAAAGAAACAAATGAAAGGAAACTTGATCATTGAAAGCTACATATATAATTTAGTTTTATGGTTAGGGTTAGTACTGCAAGTGTTGACAAAAATTAAACAATTTTGTTCATAACTATAAAATTAAAAAGAATATACACTACTTGCAACAAATAAAAATTCAGCAAATATTTTTTGTTCTTTTTAGTCTTTCCTTATCTGATTTATATCTGAAAAAAAATGTTATTCCATTTGAAGAATTATTTGAATGTTAATAACCCTTGTGATAACTATAGAAAATACCAAAATATTTGTTGTATTTATATTGTATCTATTCATATTGGCTCTTATTTGACAGGTCTTGTTTATCATCATGTGGGGTGATGTGCCATCTTCCTTGCCAGTGAAAGAGCTGATTTAGATGCCAACCACCTGTCCGTGTAGTGGGTTGTACTGGGTTACATTTTACCAGTATCAGGCCTAAATCTGATCTAATTCCATCTATGGGTTAAATAGTAGGATAGACTAGACTCTCCAGCCTAAGAGAAGGAAACTTACTTCTAAACCACTGAGAAAGCAACAGGAAAATATTGTACTATCTTTCTCAAGCTAGCTAGGTAAGTCTATTTGCTTTATCTTGTTCACTTAAATTTTATTTATTATGCCTCATATTGCGGATATGCATTTTCCCAAAAACCATTAGTGTTTAAGTTATAAACGATAAAAAAATAAAAAAAACAGTTAAAAAAATATTTCTTTTATACTTAAAATAATTAAATATATATATCAATAGCTAAATATACATATCACGGTGATTCTTAATTGTTGAGTGAGTAGCCATTGTCAATTGCAAAATAAGTAACAGAACTGTCGAACAAACAGAAGTGATAAAGTGTACCATAAGCAATAAAAAGAAAAAGAAAAGAACAGGGTAAAAAAAATAATATAAAGCAAGCAAACAATATATGCAAGACAAATTAACACTAGGGAGGCATGGTGGAGTAATGGATAGCGGCTCGGATTGAGGAATCGGAGAGCTGATTTCGAATTCCAGTCAGATCCATTACATTCACTTACAAGCTAATACCCTTGGGAAAGGTATGAATCCTCTTTTTCTCCTCTCAGCTATGGGTAAATAGCAGGACAAACTAGGCTCTATAGCCTTAGATAGAAACTGGTCTACCACAGAAAGAAATGGCAACCTACTGTGGGAAAAAATCTGCCTTGTCAGTCATGTATTGAAAGATACATGATTGCCTAAGCGTGTATCATGCATGGCACATAACTGACAAATAAACAGTAATAAGGCAAAGCAACAGTAATACAGCAAAAATTTCACAAACTTAGAATTGGGGTTGACACACAAAAACAAGTTCAGAAAAGCATATCTAGCAGTCTGACTTCAAGACCAGACAGACCAGGAGTGAGTCATATGAAACCAAGAATCAGACTGTTTTATTGGCTAGGAAGAAATCTCAGTATGTATTTGTGTGCTTCTGCCTATAAATGTGGTAAAGGTAAGTGTTTTGCAAACATTCCCCACCAAACTGGAATCAACATTAATAACTACAATAAAATGAATGTGTGGAAATTCACAGATCAAAAGAATTTATGAAGAGTTATGATTGCCTACATCTGAAAGGGGTACAGCATCAAAGAAAAGAAATCCTAATTTTAGAAAGTGCAAAGTGGGCTAAAGGTTAAATGCATAGAAAATGGAGTTAAGAAGGCAGGGTTTAAATTCTAGACAAGACAGTTTGTGTTCATTTTACACCAGGAGTTGGTAACTCATTCAACCCCGTGGGCCTGATCCTGTTATAATGACGGGTTGCGGGCCGGACGAAGGACATTAATGAAAAATTAAGGAAAATTACATATGCAGACCCCTGTCAACCTAAATATTTAAAACCATAATGAAAATAAACATTGAGAAATCAAAAAAAACAAAAGAAAATCTAAAATTAAAAAAACACCTAACAAAAAATTACTTTTCCTCAAGGAACGTCAAAATACTTCAAAGTGAAAAAAATCAACCGAAGTGAAATGGGTGAAATTATGACGTGTAGGTTTGAAACTGTTATTGAAAATTGTTCTAGAAATGAACCACACACACACACACACAATCAAACAAAAACGAAGCACATATACCCATACATACAAGTACAAATAGTTGCAAACATATACACTTACGTACATACACATGCGGTATCATTCACACATTTATGAAGCATGTATGTATAATGCACGTATGTTTAACTGTCTTTAGATTTCTGCTACCTCGCATGTCAGTCCCTCCTTGGCCTCTTTCATTTTATCGTTCCTTTCACTTCTGTTATCTTTTAATGTAGCCAAGGGTCATAACAAATATGTATCCATTATTTGACATTAAACGTAGGCAACGTAACTTGATAAAATAAGTCTCATGAAAGATAACTGGCAGATAGTCTAATATTTTTAGTGCACTGAGATGTGTAGACATTCTATGGAAAATGACATGTAACAAATTTCATTTGAAGGTTGTCTCTCAAGTTAAAAATAGAGTCATTGGTAATCAGGTTCGCGGGCTGGTCAAAATGCTGACCCTTGTTTTACACTAATACCATTGAAAAAAAATGAAAAAAAATTGTCTCTTCTTCTTTCAGCGCTCGATGAAATAACAGAGCAGTCTAGAATTTTTAGGTTTGGTTAGCAACTGGACTAGGTGAAGGAGTGTGGAGAAAGCACAGGAGGAAAATACAATCTTTACCAATAAAAAATTATGATAATGAACAAATATTAAAATAAAAGGACACTAGGGAGAGACATGATTTCCTACGGCCTGAAGGGAAATTTGTGTTTAAAACTTACCTGGCAAAAATGTAAAACACAAGTGGCAAAAGAGCAACTGCTTGTAACAAGATTTTGGATGAAACCTCTCGGCTGACTGAACATCGAAGCAACTTCCCATATGGTTTTCTGCTTCCATACTTCATGCAACATCAGTGTCAGGTAAAATCTGTCAATGGCTGATTGATCCACACTCTGCTGTTGAAAAAAAAAAACCTTGCATGTCGAAAAGTGGCATATGTAATTCACTCCAGGAATTGAATTTAATGTCCCTTAGAAACCTTGATATAAGAAGAGTGGTGACCCCAATGTGTACAGGGTTCGCCATAAGAGATACCAAAGTAAGTAATACCAGAGGTTTGAATTGAATTTAATGTCCATCGGGAACCTTGATCTAAGAAGAGTTGATCTGTGGTGACCCCAATATGTACTAGGTTCACTACAAGAAATACCAAACTAAATAATACCAGAAATCTGAATTGAGTTTAATGTCAATCAGGAACCTTGACCTAAGAAGAGTTAATCTGTGGTGACCCCAATATGTACTGACTTCACCATAAGAAATATCAAAGTTTAGTTTTTTGGTGTCGCCTCAAAAAGCCCAAAAACCCCGGAGTGGAGCTAGAAGGTGACTGCAAAGCCATCATGTACAGAATTAGGTCTCAAATGATGTTAGTGGGAGCACCAACAGAAACAAGAATGTGAACGCAACTAAAGTTAAGGTATACACATACAAACAGGACAACCAGATAACGGGAAGTTATATAAATACCGAGCCTGGAAGTGGAGAGAGAATCCCTCATGCATATTAGGAAGTTAATTCAAATGAATTTAATTAAAAGATATTGTAAAGGAAATATGATGTCTATTAATGAATTCACTATAACTATCTAACATCTGCTGCCCAGATTCTATCTGTGAAACTTGAAACTGGGAAGATAAGTTATTTTAATTGTTTTATATATATATATATATATATATATGTGCGTGTGTCTGTGTGTGTGTGTGTATATATATATATATATGCAATCGTAAGGTCATATGTGGCCTGACGATTGCATATAGCATGAAACAGACTGTCACCTCTAAGTGTTGACTTCTATGTTCACTTTTATATATTTACACGCTCTATCTCTGATATTGAGCACTTCATTCCATAAATATAGCATACCTTAAGACTATATTTCTTTATATATATATATATATATATATATAATATATATTGTGACCTCTAGATGACTTTAGAATCTCCTGCATCTCTTCTGGATTGTCTCCTTGGTTAAGTTGGTGAATGCTGCCATAATTTTTTGCCTTCACTTCATCTTTGGTGTTACAAGGCATTTTCTTGGTCTCTCATTCAACTGTGCCCCCACACATAATAATCAAGGGGGCTGTAGTCTGGGTAGTTCTGTCGCCAGATGTAAGAGGTAATGTGATCACGGAAATTGCCTGACAGCTATGTCATGGTGCAGAGTCCTGTTGCCAGACATAGAGTCTTCCAGCAGTGACCCCCTCGACCCAGGTAGAACTACCTTCTCAAGGCACTTGATGTAGACCTCCATGTTGAGTCTGAGGCCTTGTGGCAAGGTGAATGGAGGCATAACATCACCATCACTAATGATCACTCCAAACACCTTCGTAATCACCATTAGACTCATCCAACTCTTTCGGAATCCTCTGCACTGTCCTCAGATTGTCACATAAGCATTCTGAAATGTTCGTATTGGAGTTCCGGCATGAATGCCAAGTAGTACAGTATACCGTTTCAAAATTTCTGGTGGAGGGAATTGCGTAATGGTGCTCTTTTTCTAACGGATGGGACCCAACTGACCCTACTATACAGTGCAGTTGACAAAATCAAAAACAATCGGTGCCCATGCATAGAATTAATAATATAAAATGGTGACAATTTACTCATCGCAACTTGTATATATAATATAATTATAATATATAAAATATATTTAGCCAATATGATTTCATTTAAAAATACTTTTGTTAAATTCATCTGAAAAGGTCTGTTTCATTTTTTATTGTATTTTACCAATTTTCAAATTGCTTGTTGTACATTGGAACCAAAATTGCAGATAATCGTTGAAGTTCATTTTGTTCTGTTTTCGTTTGGCAACTTTTTGACTGTCTCAGTCATTATCAAGAACGAGATGTTGTTAGTATGGTCGACAAGATTTTGTTTCATTCTGGCATTAAATTCCTGTTAATGACTGAGATGGTCAAGTGAACGAGAACACAAGCAAGAATTTTGTACAGTTTATCCACAATTTTGTTTTGGATATACACCTTATTTGAAAATTGAAAAACTACAATTAAATGTTGGAGAGTTTGTGTGAACAGATGGTAGAACAATGGCAAAGAGGAATGGTAAGAGGTAAAAAAATTACTTAGAGAAAAAAAAAGAAAGAGAAAGTTGTGGAGAGATGTGATCATCCACATCTTCAAAGGAGACGTAGCTTTGGGTAGAGGCTTGTATTTATTTCAGAATATACTTACTTGCTTCACTCGCTGACCTCCAGCTTTTCTTGCAATGTAACCCTCAGGCACTCCAAGGAGATTAGCAATTGACAATTCTTCTGGAGACATCTTGCACATCTTTAAGATAAACAAGAAGATATACATATTAAAAATTATTAAGATGAAGCTTTTATTTGCATTTTTATGAATGTGTAGGGCCAAAAATTTTGCTTGGGTTTTTGCTTAAAATCAAGACTAAGTAATATTTTACTTCTGATCAGTAGTTCTCAACCTTTTTTGGCCATGACCCACCAAAGCATCTCTAAAATCCTGATGCTGCCCATCCTTGACATATAATTCTTATTATTCAAAAAGTGAACTCTTATTCATATGGAGGAAGTCTAAAAGGCCATTAACATTGGTTAAACAAGCTTCCAAAGAACATGGCATCCAGAAAAGAGAAAAATAAAAGAATGCAAAAACAGTTGAAGTAGTGAAGAAGAAATTACTAAGAAATGGTTTGGTTTGGTTTATGGCATATCAACCTCAAAGGGTTATTTAATGCTGACAAGAATTTTATTGCTGCTAATATTTTTATTCCACAAAAATGTATTGCTGTAATATTTTTCCTTCAAAAATGTATTGCTGGTAGTAATTTTTCTTTTAAAAAATTTATTGTTGGTATTAAAACCTATTTTTACACTTTCATAGTGTTCTAACCCCAATTTGTGGGTTAACTATTTGCCCATAGCTGGGACCCTAACAGGTGCTACCACCCCAGGTCAGGGTGGACCTGGAAACACTAGCAATTAAGAGGTGGTTTCACGCTCCTTGAAACCTCCTGATCAGAGGCCTTGTTGTTGGAAATAGTTTATTGTCTTACCTCGGATGCGGATGCAGTTTATTGTCATACCCAAGACGGCTAAAAAATTGTTTTATATATATACAATGCATACATACAAATATTTTTTATACATGCATACTGTATATTCACTATATGTATTAATTCCCAAGGCATCAAACTCGCACCTGAACTTAAGTGGTACACGTACATACAATCCATTGCTAAGGATGCAGGTAAAATGTTTGGTCCCCTGTACCACACCAGTAAGTACCTGACACCTCATGGTATTCCCTACCTTTACAAGAGCCAGATCAGGTTAAAAATGGGGTACTTTTGTCATATTAGGGCTGGAGCTGCCCAAACCTTACTCTCTAAGTCCTTGTTGGTGACAAATTATTGTTACCCCTCTCTTTGACAGGCAGGATGTGGCAAGCCCCTTGCTGTTCTATAGACACTTCCACAGAAAGAGCTTAAATGAATTACATTCGCTGGATCCTGCCAATTCAATCCATCATGCTATGGACCTGCCATGCCACTTACATAATAGCAAACCACCCACATTTCCTCCGTATTCCATTTATGAGAAGTAAGTTCCACTTGAACAGCTTCTTCCACCGCTCTGTGGAACAGATTCCTAAGAGGATGTTTTCCCAATCACTACAATCTTAACCTTAATTGCTGTTTAACCGTTATCTCCCACGTCTATCTGCACAAATTGCCTCCTAATGTAACCCTTTGAAAGATTGAAAGTACTTGAGAAAATAAAAGGAATGAAAAAAAGCCATGGCGCCTTTCTTAATGAATTTAATAACAACATTAAGAAATTGATCTGTGAATTTGAGAGGATTAAAATAAATAGACATAACATGTCCAGATTATTCAACCAAACATTCTTGAATGAAAATATACTGTATATATATATATATATATATATATATATATACACACACACACACACACACACAATCACCAAAAGTTAGGCAACATCAAGCCTGATTAGTACCTAGATGGGTGACTGTTTGGGAATATCAAGTGCTGTAAGCTTGGGTGTGTGGGTTGTGCAATGGATAATGACTTGAAATTGGAAAATGAACAGCTGAGTTCAAATTCCAGTCAAGTTCATTATATTCACTTATGTGCAAATACCATTGGGAAAGGTATGAATTGACCTCTTCTCCTCACAGCTATGGGTTAAATAGTAGGACATGTGTCAGTAAATCATTATTATCACAAAAACTTTCTTACAATTTAAAAATGTTTTCTGGTTTTGATTAACCTGTAAAAGGTTGATGAACCATAAAAAACAAATCAATCAATCAATCATGTCTTTTTTAAGTGGATTAGTGCGAAGTAAGTGAAATGGACACAATCAGAATTTGAAATTAGTATATATATATGTATTTTAGTGCATTATATATATATATATATATATATATATATATATATATATATATATATATATATATATATATATATATATAAATTTAAAGGAAGATGACAAAACAAATGAACTGCAATAAATTCAGGTCTGTACCTGGTTGAAGTAAGTCATCCAGCATGGATTAATAGGTAGGTTGTATGGAGTCACAAGGGCAAGCAAGTGGAGATAATTGGATAAGACCAGTTTGTCACAAGCAGCTTTAAGGTCCTTATAAAGACGTGGACCTATATCAATATCAATGGAACCTGAAAAAGCAAGAATAAATTCATATGGCAATAGTAATATTAACCAAGGAAAAATTTGGCATTCATTGACTGAGCAGCTTGTATTACTATCAGCTGAAAAATCATCAAATTTTACTCTTAAAACAATTTTTCAGGAAAATAGTCCAGTAATATTTAACACTCTTTCCAGTAATGATTGGGGTTTCTTTCCTAACCTTTTGTTTGAAGTTGTGTGGAATTTCAACATCTTCATTATATCATTATTTTCTCTTTGAGTTACATGTGATATCCTTTTGAACGGTTGCTGCTATTGAAAGTCCTCAAGTAATGTGGTTTCTGCTATTTAGTGCTGTTCTTTGTGATTCTATAATGCCAGTCCACAAGGGTTTTAGAAGTATGATCTTCACCAAGTCCAATAAGCTCACTCAAAGCCATTTTTAACCATTGATCTGGGAAAGTGGTTTTATACAGCTAACAGTTTAGATATTTCTTAAAAGGGTTTGGTGCCATGTATGACATTCATGTGAAAGTCTTGATCTAATGAGACTATTTAATAACATTACTTGAGTTTTCAGGTTAATGTTTTGGTTTTGTAGCAAGTTGTGGTGTTGCACAAAACTATCTCTAGCACACCCTATTCTATGTTCAATTTCCTTATCTTCTATACTAAATTTGTTATAATTGATTCATATGCCGAGGTATCTGAAATGTTTGGTACTTACTAATTTTACAGCCTGAATTTTTATAATGGATTCAGAATTATTGTCATCACTCCTTTCATTCCAATCTCAGATTATAGTTTCTGTTTGGAAAGGTTAACTGTATCTAATATAGTGATGCCAAGGACAAAAACTATGTATAGTATAAAACAGTGTATTTTTTTGTTAGCATCACCATCATGATCTATTAATAGTGATATTAGTAATCTATTAACATTTAGTTTTACTCATATACTGTAAAACATATTTTAACCAACTAAGTAGTAACCTTGTCCATGTACATAAATTATTTTATGACAGGACTACGAACTGTGCCTGGCAAATCATGTAATGGAGATCATGCTTCCGGATCATTTCATACTAATGCAGGGGTCAAGAATCAGAATAGAACACATCTACATCACTCATTGATATCTCTGAAAAACTGAGCATCCTCCTGAATGCACAGTAAGTTAAGGAGGCATATACCATAAAACAATTCTAATTGATTGTAGTGATCTTCCTGAGAAGTGTTTTAATAGAGGATGGAAAATGCAACATCGAGATCTGCACATGCATTGCACTAGTGGAAGAACCATTCCAAAATTTAAGCAAGGTGCTGAGAAACTAAGAGTCAGAATAGCGCATACCTATATCACTCGCTCATTTCTTCTAAAAAATGAATATCATGCCAGGAAGAATATAGTATAAAACATATTCTAGCCAATTGTAGTTGTCAATTTTCTCTAGCCAAAATTCCTCTATCCAGGTTGTCAGCTCTGAAGACTTCTAAACACTGAGCCTACATAGCCAGCTCCTGCCACCAGCTCACCTCAAGGTGGATCCAGGTTGGCTAATACTGCTGCTATGTAGATTATCCACTAGCGCCACCATTCTCAATCTGTCTCTTCTCCAACCATCAAGGGGAGATAACTCAATTATCTCAACAGTAGTGACTTTGCTGTTAAAATTGGCAAGTTATGGAACTACCACCAAAACAACAAGCTTTACAAAAAAGAAGAATCAAAATAGGACATGTATGTATAAGAATAGGGTTGGTTATAATAATAATAATAATAATAAACAAAATGATTGCTGACACAACTCTTCCAATATTTTTAACACTTAAAGAGAACAATTTAAGAAAAAAAGACAGTATTTGACAAAGTTCAATATTTTGACAGAATGTCTGCTTCAAGTTTTGCATACAAGTATAAAAATATAAAAAATCTACAAAATAATTACAAGTCTTTGCATGTCTTGAGAAAAACGATTACACTGATAATTCATGTAAATGAAAAGCAGCCTGTGGGAATGGCAATGCAACTGAAACATGCATATGATGATGATGATGATCGAGCTCAAGTTGAAATTTTTTGTTAGTTGATTACTGTATATTTCCATGTATAATGCAACCTTTAGATAAGGCAAGGTAAAAAAATAAGCAAATTTTCATGAATTTATCCTATACTTGTAATATAAGACGATGGTTTATTGATTATATAAAGATGATGTTTTTGGAAATGTTGTTACTTATTGTATCCTTAGAAATACAAAATTAACAAAATAACAAAATTGATTCTATGTAATGTTTTTCCTAGACATGTCTCCTAAATTGGAAACCATTGTTTTGTTTATGTTTCATCACATGATCTCTTGCAAATACTGATTCTTCTCCTTTGTTTTCTATATCTAAACAGTTACAAACAGACTGGTGTACTAATAGCCATACTTCATCGACAATTGCAAAATACTGCTGTAATTAACACTACCATGATGATTATTTAAAGTTTAGTGAAAGATAAAGGTTTGATGTTTACATTTTTTCAGCTGAGCTTGTATGGATACAAGTTGATTTCATTGATATGGAATTATTCTTTGAATAGGCAATTTATTATGAAGTTATGCCAGTAAAGTAGAAATGGTTTTATTACTGTTATTATCAGTTTATTCATGTTTTAGCATACCTATGAACGATAATGGGCATGTCCCCATTCACATAAATACAGTAGTAAATACTGTATGTTAGTCTGCAGTTGGAGATTCATTGTGGAATTCACTTGATTCACTTCTAGCTGTTGACTACTGCTTCTACGCACCGCTGGCAAGTCTTATATGTGTTGTTCTTGTCCTAAGTATTATCGTTCAGTACCAACCTTCATTTGATTATTCTGTTCAGTAACCTTCCTTAGGTTATAACGATTTGCTAATGTGAATCTTTTCATGTATGTTATTGGTTACTGCAGCGTGTCCAAGGTTAGGCTACGGACGAATATCACCCAGAATTTAAGGTTACTTTTTCAGAACTGTAGTATAAGATGATCCCAACTATTAAGGGTGACTTTTGGGATTATATGTGGAAATATATGGTAGTTACTAAGAGGAATTAATGGAATAGTTTAGTATAAATCTTATGGAACTCTTTTCTCATTCTGATCATTCCCCCAGGGGAAGGAACATAGATGTTTGCATACATAACTACCCTCATGTGTTTTAAGGGTTAAAAGGATGGTGGATTTTAGATAATTTTTCAGAATGTTCACCTTATGATATCCAGAATCCTCCAACCTTTCAACCCTTAAAATGCATGAGGATAGTTACATATGATAACTACAAACATCCCGTCCCCGGGGAAATAAATAGAATGATGAGAGAGTTCAATAGGATTTATACTTAACTTTTTAATTACTCTTAGTAACTAATCAATTAACTATAAAAATAATATCCAAAAAAATACATGTGATTGAAATAAAAACAAACTTGGTGGCTTATTCTTCCCAAAACAATAATCTTCCCCTTGAGCCGTTTATTTGAAGCTCTAAATCTTACCTTTGTATGTTGCTTTCCCAAGTTTAGTTATTTCTAGTGTCAAATCTGAATTGTCTTTTTCTTTTGCAGGTGATGAGGCATCACAGAGATCAATCTTCCGTTTTTGAACAACCAGGCCAAGGTCTACAAGGGTCTGAAGCTCTTCATGTACCACTTCATTAACATCGTAGAGGAGAACATCGCTTTGTATAGAAAGGAGACTGCTGTGGAGAAATGAGAATAATTGGGAATGACTAGCCGCTATCTGAAATGAAAATCAGAAGATAATCTTTAGTGCGTATTCAAAGACTGAAGTCAATTCCAAAACCAAAAGTCTTGCAAAAAATTAAGAGTGAAAGAGAGAAAAAAAGATGATTATGGTCCTTTGATAAAAAATATGTAATATTTTTATTGTATATTTTCCGTCCATTTCCCTACATATATATAATTTCATGAATAAAAAACATTATTTTAGTATGGTGAAGTCCTTTTGAAGGATGAAACGTATTACAGAAAGTTTCTTTTTATTATTTTGTCATTCAAATACCCACCATTGGTTTGAGATTATATATAAAAATTATTTGTTTATATGTTATTTTTAATGTTTACTCATATTTGAGTAGATGCTTTGTTTTCATTATTAAACAATATATTTATTTAATTACATCTATTGGCCTGAATAGTCAAGAAATCTTGTTATATATGCACCCTATAGATTAGAATGCTCAAAAATTAAAAATGTCAGCCTCTTCTAGAAAAGATCAGAAGCCAACTGGCAACAATTGAAAAAAAAAAAATGAGAAGAAAGGTTAAGGAGTGAGTGTAAAGTGGAGAAAAAAGCAACATAAAGGACAAATAATCACGACACACTACATGCACACACATCTGAGCAGACGGCTGCAGGCACACATAGACTATTAAAAAAAAACAAAAGAAACCAATGAAACTCTGGAGTTGTGATGCTGAAGGTAACATCAATCAGCTAAGTGACAACCTTTTATTTGTATCAATTATTTATATATATATATATATATATATATATATACACACACACACACACTACTAGGGTACCTCGCCAATCCTTGTTGTAGATGTTTGCTCTTTTATACAATTTTCATTAAAAATGACTGACAAGGTACTGCGGTTAAGTTTTTATTTAATTTTTCTTGTGTTCTTATAATTTTCTTCTTTTTTTTTTGGGACAGAAATTATGTAGAAATTGTCTGAATGTTCTGCATGTCCAAGCACTTTCAACTATAATTTTAGCCGTTATCAAGGATGATTTTATTTTTAATTCTAACTGAATGTATGGATTGTTTTATGTATGCATCTAGAGTTATATGAATGGTTTATTTTCCAAATATGGTCAGCACATTGTGGCCGTGTTTCTAGTTGATATTACTGAGTATTGGTTTTTTCTTGTTCAGTGATTTCATTATTTTTAACCTTTTTTTTTTACATATGGATGAGGCTATTTGTATTATCAATGAGTATGTTGCGGATAGAGTTTGATAGGTCTCCATGTGTATTTAAACATTTACTAAATTATCAAAATATATGAACCAACTATAAGGAAATCCTTATTATTTACCATTTTATAAAGTTTGAATCAATTGGCAATTTACCAACGATTTCAATAAATAAATAGTGTAAATAAGCAATCTAATAAACAGTGTTTATTATTTTCATTGTCAATTCTCAAGAACAAAGAAAATGTAAGAATTCGCTTTCATATGTTTCACTTTTATTACAATTTGTTATGGGACCTTACCCATAATAACATAATGGACTAGTCCATATGTAAATAATACTGCGCCTCAAGAGGAAGCAGGGAGTTCAGTCTGATGTCTGGAGTGAGGTCCGTCAGAAGTCTGTCAGGAGTCTGTGAGTCAGTCAGTCGAGTCAGAGGCAGTCCGAAACAGAGTCGCATTCAGACAATTACTACAAGACATTGGAATAGTGATCCTGGTCAAGACTACATTGTTCTCCCTACTAAACCTGCTTGTTCGTACTAACACTTTCTACTTCTCTGTATATATTCCTATTTGTAATATATCTGTGTTATTCCATACCTGTGTTCGCATTCTTCTTTATTGGTTCTACCTTGGACTATCACCGTGGTGCAAGGAAACGGACCATAACACAATTCTAATAATTGCTTTTTAAAATAAAAAATATTGCTGAGAAGAGAAGGTAGTTGAAATAATAGCGGTGTCAAGGGAAAAGCTTTATTTTTAACATTCTGTTTTTTTCTGCCACGAATCTCTAAGTTTGCATATATATGTGTGTGTGTGTCAAAATTCAGATAAAAATAAAATATATCTGTAAAAAGACAATATGGATAAAGGCTAACGAAAAGCTTTTCTTTACCAACATGTTTCAGCGCCTGATGGACTTTATCAAGGTAAATATAAGGATTTTATTTTGCAACATGTATTTATAAACAGAAATAAAAATATTGTTACATTTTTTAAATTTAAGAATGCTCAGACATCTTTATAAAGCTATTTGTGAACGTAAAGCTAAACTATTGAGGATGCTAAGTGATGTAATCTAATGCCTAATAAACAAAATGATGTCATTGATTTTTTTATTTTCTTATTTGTTTATACATATATATTTATTTTTTATAATAAAGTAATTATCATTATTTAATTTTAATTTGACAAATTATTTATCTGTTTATTTGTTTTAAATATATAGAAGGTTTTGATTTAACTGTTTTCTTTTAAAAAAAAATTATGGTCATGTATACTGGCTTAGAAAAGAGATATTTCTATTAGAAATGGAGTTATTTGCAAAAAAAATCTGGTGTGCAGGTTAACATTTTGGCAAAACTCATTAATGACATTCTCAAGAATTTCCATCTAAGTTATATTCTCTTTTAATAAATGTGGCATTCTTTAGATCAAAGTTGTGGTTGAACTTATTTCTCTGTATATTTAATACATGTGATAAATTTTTATGTATAAGACACATTTTGTGTTTTTGTGTTCATAAATAATTTTTTTTAATTTCTTCTGCAAGTTTCCCCTTTATATTGGTTTGGTTTAGTTTGCTTTATGGTATATCAACCTCAATAGGTTATTTAATGCCGACAAGATTTTTATTGCTGGTAATATTTTTTTTTTTTTTTTTGAATGTATAGTTGGTAATTTTTTTTTTTCAAAAATGTTTTGCTGGTAATAATTTTTCTTCAAAATTATTGCTGGTAATAATTTTTTACAAAGTATTTCTGGTATTAAAACCTATTTTTACACTTTCATAGTAGACGGACTCCCGTAATGCGCCTTAGAAGGTAAGTGCGTAGTTTCGTCGAAGGCCTTCGTTTGCCGTGCGGACTCCGTGTCGCCTTCTTGAGGCGTAATGCGTAAGTCCCGTTGAATTGTTAAATGCCTAAGTTTGTCGAGGGCCTTCGTTTGCTGTAGCCAGATGTGCGTCGTGCCTGGACAGTGGTCATGGGACCACTAGCTCAAAGTAGTGCCTAAGTACGTCGATGGCCTTCGTTTGCCGTAGCCGGACTCCCGTAATGCGCCTTACGAGGCACATGCGTATGAAACCTCCCCTATTATATTGTAATGAACAGTTGTGACAGTTTAATTTATATATTCCTGCTTCAGAATTATTATTATGATTGTTATTTTTGGTTCTGATCAGATCCATAATAATTTTGGCTTGGATTGTCAAGATGTTAAGATTGGATGAAATGTTTTGTATAGTAGATGTTAAGGAGTAAGTAGGTAATTTTATATGTGTGTTTTTATCTTGTTTATTTTCATTGTTGTTCTTAATGTCATTATTTTTTTGTAGTTGGTTGTTGATTTTGAATACTAAGAGAAAGGTAAACAAAATATACAAATGCAAAACAGATAACGTCATTAACAACAACAATTACAATAAATTAGATAAAAACAGACATAAAGTAACCTACTTTGTAAATACATGTTGCAAAATAAAATAAAGTTCAAAACATCAAAACATGTAAGTAAAACAAAAGTTTTTCTTTTGTCTCTCTCTCTCATATATATATATATATATATATATATATATATATAGAGAGAGAGAGAGAGAGAGAGAGAGAGAGAGAAAAATATACAAAAGGAATTAAGATTACATTAGGAGATGATCATTTTCACCTTGTAAATTGATCATTATCAATTATATTTTATATTGTATTAATAGGATTCACTTAGGATTCGTTTAGCTTGATGTGCCTTTTCCGATTTGGCCATGAAGGAGTGTTCGGTTAGCAAGGTTGAATTTACTGTATTTAAACTTCAATCTTCCATGAATCCTTCATGGCCAAATCAGTAAAGGCACGTCAAGCTAAATGACAGTTTGAATCCTGTCGGAGGACGAATATTTTCTGTGAAAATTTCTCAGACATTTAGGCCAGTAAATGTTGTTTAATACTGTTTATTATAAAACAGAGCATTTACTTAAATATTTGTATCTATAAAAAGAATGTATAAATATAAAAATGTCTTTATATATATATATATATATATATATATAAATGAATATAAAGTAGCACACGCTAATAAAACAGTATTCAATATATAATAGCAGAGATAAAATTTATATTAATAATATACATTTTTTTCAATCAGCACTTGATGATTGCATTATGCATGAAACTCAGAGTTGTTCTACTGGAGAGGAAAATATGTATATTTATTATTAATATATTGTGTCAACTGTATATCAATGCAGATGCAAAAGAGCCCCAAGTTGCATGCAGACATGACTGTCAATGTCCGTTAGTGGCATCCAGGTTTCTCTGTTAGCACCAAAACAGCTTGGCATATCCAGATACAGGCTTCTCTGAAAATTGTCCAGATCTGGGTCTTTATTAACAGCTTCGTATTAATGAAAGCGACAAGAAAACCAGCAGGATGTAGTCTACTTTTAGTGAGAGTTACATTGCTATTGTCTTTTAAAGATGTTCTCTTGACATATTTTGTTCTGGAAATTCTGTACCAGTCATCATGCTGTAGTTTTTGAGGTAGTGGCCTCACTCACTGTTATATATAATTAATATGAATAAAAGTTTATCACTTAGCTGATTGATGTTACTTTCAGCATCCCAACTCCAGAGTTTAGTAGACAGACCCATCTGTCCACTCTTCAAGGAGTATCAGCAATTGAATTTTTGCTTTTTATGCACTTATCATTAGTATAATTTTTTTTCTGTATTGCTTGTGTGCATTTGTGTGTGTGCAGCAGATGTGCATACATGTTGAATGATTATTTGTCCTTTTCTTCATTTTTTTTTTTTTTCACTTTATATATACTCTTTGGCTTTTTTCTCTTTTTTTTCACCCTTTCTTCTTTTGTTTTCAATTGTAGAGATTTGAATCTATTTATTCCTGGTATTTCTCCAGACATGTTATAGTTTTTAATTTTTTTTTCTTGGGCTAAGGAAGGCAAATTTCGTTTTTTACATAAATAATTAATATCAATCTTTAAATGATAAATATTTTTATATGTTTTTAATTGGCTATTATTTTGTTTTCTTATTTAGTTTGGTGGTATATGTATGGATATTGTTGTAACTGTTTTCACAGAGCATACTCATATAACACTAATCTTAGGCAAAAATGCTGGGTAGAGACACATTAATCTCCAGTAGAATGCACCTTTACTAGACTTATACTTGGTGTGTGGGAAGCATAGAGGTTATCAGAGCAGAAAGTGGAATCAAGGTACAATTTTGAAATTCTGATCAACTTCATTACATCCACTTTTGCACAAGAAAGCTATGAATCTATCTCTTCACTCTCTAACCATGGATTAAATAGCAGGACAGACTAAGCTTTCTAGCCTTGGTTGGCAACCAGTCTAAGAGAAGGACAACTCTGAATTCAAAATCTCCACCATATAAAAATCTACTTGTTATAGAAACCACATCAGCAACACATAGTGTGGTGATGCTGTTGTCCTATTTTTCACAGGGGAAATTGGCAGGAGTAGGAGTGGGTTGAGTTTGAGTAGTAACATTTTGGCCTAAGGCAGATGAGATAATTTGTATATAAATAATACAATTTATTTTTTATAAATTCAAGGCTAGTTATGATTAAAAATAATTATATTTCTATCCTTGTAATTTTTTTACTCTAACGTAATATTTGTATATCAGAAGCAGAAAACAAACAAAAAAGTGGCGATTTTACCTGAAGACCAATAATTGAAAGAATGAGGAAACGGATTCCTTTGCCACTGTCATACATCAAACTACTGTGACAATTTTCAAGTGGACTGGAAATCAAGTTGTAAACCTGGAAAATAAAATAAATTAAAAATACAGTTACCTCCCTTTGAAAGAATGTTAGTTATCTCCCTTGAAACTACATGCCCTGTTCCATGGAGCTCACTGCTAGTACTGCAGAGCATAGTCGTAACATTAAACCAGGTCCATTGTGTACTACCCATGAAAAACCGACCTTGTCAAGATTGACTGGGGGGCTCCTGGCAGTACTTTGTGATCCCCGATATCTTAACGCTTACTTTTTTCTACCTACATTTATATACGTTACAAATTAAACTAAGTGCAACTGAAAGAATGAAAATTTTTTGTGGATTTTGACGTCCTTCTGTTTTTTTTTTCCAAATCCGCGAATTTGTTTTTCTCATGATAAGACTAAAAGAAACACTCAATAAAATTCATTATAATACTCTAAGAGCTGAAAAAATTGCCTAGCCAATGGTAGTAACTTGTAAACATGCTCTATCCAGCAATGTTATTGGGCTCCCTGTATCAGTTGTTGAGTTAGAAGCTATTGTTAAAGTGCAAGATAAATAACATGATCATAATTAATAAAGTTTGTAATGAAAAGAAAAAAGGTAAAAAAAGATGAAACAGCAACAAACATGCAAGCACTATATTAGGTTGGTGCAAAAATAATGACGTAATAATGTCGTTTTTTGATGTAACGTCAAAAACGACATTATTACGTCATTATTTTTGCACCAACCTAATAGTTAAAAGCAAATCAAAATTCATAAAATGGCAAAAGAATTCACAAATTAGGAGTTGGTGTTTGTACACAAAAGAAAGGTTGACCAAGCAGACACAGTATGTCTGTCTAGTAGTTAAGGCAGATCTGGACTGAATCATACAAGCTGTCCCATTTTATTGGCTAAGAAAAATATCCCAGCATGCATTCTTGTGTCCCTCTGACTATAAGAGTGGGAGGAGCAAAATTTTTGCAATCATTCCCACCCTCATTGGGAAACCAACACGTTGAAATAGATAGAAAGCTATACTCTAAAAGCTGAAAAAACAGCCTTGCCAATGGTAGTAACTTGTAAACATGCTCTATCCAGCAATGTTATTGGGCTCCCTGTATCAGTTGCAGTTATTGCTTGAGCAAATTGTATTTAATCAATGTTTATGCTGACCAAATAGTGGATATGAGCACAGTTAGGTTATAGATATTGCATTTCAGCAGTAGAGACAGCAATGTTTATAATAAGTTCTAGGTAGCCTTGCACCACCACAAACTCATTAAATGTAGCATGTTTTGAAAGTGTATACTCTATGGCGGTGAGTATGTGGAAAAATAATGTTTTGTAGCTGAAAATTTGCTCAATCCTACATAGTCATTGTGCACCCTGTATCTGATGTTTTTCCCATGGAAATAAATAAGAGGCATTACTTTCAGAGCATCCATTTTAATTGAAACATAGTTACTAGAACAAGCAAGATGAGGATATCGGTTTGAATAAATTAGTTAATAATTATAATTCCTCTTTTGAGAGAATCAAATAGCAGTGGATCTGAAAGACAAGAAATGTCTGAAGTCAGTTAAACATAGCAAAGAAAATGGTGATGGCACAGACGTTTAATTCTTCATTTTCTTACCTTTGGTAGTTCCTGTGGCTGACAAATCATGATGCTTTCACCAGATGAATCAATTCCAGCTCTTCCGGCTCTCCCAACCATTTGTTTGTACTGGCATTTGCTAATGAAAGAATTTCCAACACGTGGAGCTCTCAAAATCACCCTAAGGTAAACGAGAAAAAGATGACATTATTTTGAGACTTGAATTTCAATCATTGTTAAGCCATAGAAAGTCACGGGTCAGCAAAACCTAACTCCATAAGTTAGATTTCTCATCCACCTGACATATTGTTATTTTAATTATAATTAATATTATTATTGTTAATAAAAGAGTTTCCAACATGAGGAGCTCTTAAAATCACCCTAAGGTAAATGAGAAGAAGAAATTATTTTAAGACTTGAATTTCAATCATTGTTAAGCCATAGAAAACCACAGGTTGTAGTCAGCAAAACCTAACTTCATAGATTTCTGATCCACCTGACATATTAGGATGTTTTGCAAAACACTGACATGTATTGAAATTCTCACAGTATTTCGTATTGTTGAAGTTATTACTAACATTTTTTGTCGATTTTATAATGAGCATTTGGTTATGAAAGGAAAGGAATAACCAGACAATGTCAATTGCTATCTACTCTCCTCTTGATTACTATTTTCTCATCCTGCTCATTATTACTGTTTCTGTTCCTAATTCTTCCAAACCCTGTAACCCCTTGTCTCTTAGTGGACAAAATAATTCACCTTCAGAAAGGCTATCAGTTATATCAATGATCTCCAGTTGCATCCATAAAATTAGTCAGGCATACTATACTTAGTACCCACTTACCTGTTTGCACTTCTCCCCAAAATTTGGTTTTGATCAATGCTTGCCTATTTTAGAGAGACGGATGGACTAACTGAAGTTACAGAATTTTATATATATATATATATATACATTATAAAATGGGCAAAGTCCGACAATTATTTAAAGACATTTTCATGTTTAACATTCTTTTTATAGATACAAGTATTTTAGTAAATGCTCTGTTTACATTTGATACGCCATGAGCAGTTATGAATGTACGTGAGAGATTCATGGAAGATTGAAGTTTATAAGCAGTAAATTCGACCTTGCCAATCGAACGATCCTTTGTGGCCAAGCGGTTAGGCACGTCAAGCTAAATGACGATTCCATATAGGATGCAGGTTCGAATCCTGTCAAAGGAGGAATATTTTCTATGAAAATTTCTCGGACATTCAGGCCAGTAAATGTTATTTAATACTGTTTATTATAAACAGAGCATTTACTAAAATACTTGTATTTATAAAAAGAATGTTAAACATAAAAATGTCTTTATATATAGATAGATAGATAGATAGATAGATGCACTAGTAGTATTAGTAGGAATAATTTTTTAAAATTTCTATTATGAAACAGTTGCTATGGTCTAAATGGTAGAGCAGCTGTTATGTTCAGACAGGCTTACTGAGTGGAAAAAAGAATGTGAGTTTGGTCTTGACCATGTGCATGATGATGCAAGAAGTGGACAGCTGAAAACACAGAGAACACCTGTAGATGTGGATAGAGTGTAAATTTTGGTGTATTCAAATTGAACATTAAGTGTGCAACTGATAAAAAAACTGAATATGAATAGGGATTGACTGATTTGTTTTTCATGGCCTATCAATCTCTTTGCAGGTTATTTAAAGCCAGAAAATATTTTTTAGATTGTAATAATTTTTGAAGATAATAATTTACTGATACAAGTTTTGCTAATTAACTAATAGCTGGGGGAAGGAGAGGTGGATTCATATCTTTTTCAAGGGTATTCCCACATAAATAAATATAACAAACCCGACTGGAATTGAAACTCAGCTCTCTCTGATCTCCAATTCTGATGCAAGTCCCATTACCTGCACACCCAAACTCATGGCACCTGGTATTCCCAAGCGGTCACTCATCTAGATGCTGACCAGGATCAATGTTGCTTAACTTCAGTGATCTTATGAGAACTGGTATTTCAACATGATATGACTGTTATCTGAATATAAATAAGGAGAGTAAACAGATGTTCACTCATTTAGGTACAGACCAGGATCAATGTTGCTTAACTTTAGTGATCTTATGAGAACTGGTGTTTCACTGATATCGCTTAGATGAATGATGTATTAGGAGTTTGCAACTTGGATTAGTCATTGACCTTATTCCCTAGATTTGACCCTGGAATTTTTGGCTATTTCTAAAATTAAAAAAATGTCCTAACATCCTGCAAATGAGTGGCATTCCGGAAAACAAATTCCAAGAATGTTTCCAGCAGTGGCACTATCATCTCACAAAGTGCATAGATTCACAAGGGGAGTCCTTTGAGAGTGACAGCTCCTAAGAGTGACCAGTTAAGTAAACTTTAATTTTACAGGGCCATTCTAGGAATTAAATTCTAACACCGTATACTGTACCTTTTGGCAGGAAGGTTAACTCCAGCAGCTAGGGTAGATGTGCAGGTAAGCAAGCAGAGAGTTCCTGAGGAGTATGCATCCTCTATTAATTTCCGTTCATCAGCCATGAGTCCACTGTGGTGGTAGGCCACACCAAAAGGAATTGTAGTTTGAAGAATTGGACACAAATGTCCATTGTTGTCAGATTTTAACTCTTGAAGAAGTATTTTCTTTTCAGATTTATGGCGCTCCAGCAATTCTCTTCAAAATGAAAAACAAAAAAAAATATTTTCACAAAAGGAAAATTTTTAATTGCCAAAAATACAAAACACTTGTAAAATATTATATTAAAAATATACTTTATTTTGAATTTATTATTTTCATCTTAATTATAGACTAGAACAGTCTACCCTAGTGAGCAAAATAAAGGGTTCAGTTTGACATTCCAACCACCTAAAGAAGGCCAGAGCGTACAACGGCCGAAACGTTGTAATAAATATGGCAACAAAGATGAGGACAATAGTCCGAATAATGTAAATAATGTACATAATACCTCATCTCAGAAATATAGACAGATATGAAAATACTTTGATACATCCTAATAACTTACCTTCTGTATTTTGACATCAGTTTGCATAACATACTTGAAACATTTTCACAGTTCTTCTTTGTTGGGCAAAACAAAAGACAGGAATTGGTAGGTATCACCTCCAAGACCAATCCAAAGAGATGGTCAGGATCAGTTTTATTCATTTCAGGCTTGTACTTGCAAGAAAAAAAAAAAGAAGAAAATTGAATGTTACCATTTCAGATCAGAATTAAATAAAGTGCTCATTTCTAAATTCCCTGAAAGTTACCCAGATCAACAAACAGCTAAAGAAGGCCAGGGGACATAATGTCTGAAATGTTGCAATAATAAAAAGATCAGGTCAATAGTCCAAATGTAAATAATAACTCCTGATCCAAGACATTTGGACAGGAATTAAAGAATTTGACCAATGAATGGGCATCTAACCTAATACATTAATTATCAGATTTACTATTATTGTTAATTCCCCTCTCAAAGGACACATGGCACAGTGGATAAAGGTGTTGGTTAGATCCAGTGACAGGACCTAAAGTGTGTGAGTTCAATACCCGGTTAAGGCAGTGGAGAACTTTCAGAGAGGGATTAAAAGGAGATAACTGATAACTGACATCCATTAGACATGGCACGTGGAACTAGAACAATCTACCTCAGTGAGCGAAATAAAGGGTTCAGATCGACATTCCAACCACCTGAAGAAGGCCGGAGCATACAACGGCCGAAACGTTGTAATAAATATGGCGACAATGATGAGGACAATAGTCCGAATAATGTTTTGTATTTTTATGTATTTTCGTAACCTTTGCAACTAAAATTTTTTTCTGTTTTGTGCACCTGTATTTTGTTTTTTTGTATGTTTAGCAAATATTAAATCACTTGTACTGAAGTCTGCAGTGTTTGACTTAAAGCTGATAAACGTAAAAAATAAGAAATAAGACAATGAGTGGGGAGATGATACAAATGGTATCACATGTAAAAAATAAGAAAAAAGACAATGAGTGGAGAGATGATACAAATGGTATCACATGTAAAAAATAAGAAACAAGACAATGAGTGGAGAGATGATACAAATGGTATCACATGTAAAAAATAAGAAACAAGACAATGAGTGGAGAGATGATACAAATGGTATCACATGTAAAAAATAAGAAACAAGACAATGAGTGGAGAGATGATACAAATGGTATCACATGTAAAAAATAAGAAACAAGACAATGAGTGGGAGATGATACAAATGGTATCACATGTAAAAATAAGAAACAAGACAATGAGTGGAGAGATGATACAAATGGTATCACATGTAAAAAATAAGAAACAAGACAATGAGTGGAGAGATGATACAAATGGTATTACATGTAAAAAATAAGAAACAAGACAATGAATGGAGAGATGATACAAATGGTATCACATGTAAAGAAACTGTAAAAATCATAGAAGATACAATAATGCATAAAGAAAAATAAAAAGATTGCAAAATTAATTACAGGCTGACTTATGACCAGATTGATTTATGACTTGTCACTTGTATCAAATAGTGTTTGGAAGTTGGCGACAGCCTGCAATATTATTTCTCTCACTTTATTTCTTTTATATATTATTGTAGTAATAGTCTTAAATGATACAGAAGGTGTTTATCTCCCTTGGGTTGAGATAAGTCACGTGGGTCACATAACATCAATTCATACAGTGATGAAAGTGTTTTGTTTACAGAAGCTAAACAAAGCAGTTGTTTGTTTGGCCCAGGCAGAGGCTATATCTGCCACCCCCAGCTGCTTACAAGTCCATGACACCATTACCTTTTGGGAATATATCATCTCCATATATAGAAATCTCTGACAGAAGAATCACCATATTATATGTAAGACCCTATTATTTTGTTCTCCTTTCACTCTGTGTAGATATGTGATATTTTTTCTCTGCATGGGACATGTATGTATATATATATATATATATATATAATTTTGTGTATGATATAGCATTACAAAAATCTCTCTGAGAATAAAGCATGTTTGTCATTCCTTTTCTGTTCAGCTATTCCATTCTATCCATGAAAGATGGTATTATGTCACTGATATAATAATGCCCATAATGGGGAAAATACAATGGGAGAAAATCCTTTCATAGCTTCTCCGTTATAATCTGAATTCTTATATAAAGTATCTTCCTTACATTATCTACATTGTTTGAACTGTTGTCCTCATGTTTATTTCATATTAATGACATTCTGGCTATTATACATTCCAGCCTTCTTCAGGTGGGAATTTTGAACTGAACCCTTTATTTCGTCCACTAGATTCTTCCATTTCTGGATATCTCAGTTTCAGTTATTTCCCTTTAGTATTCTAAATCTTTAAGTTTTTGTTCACCTCTGCTGTAGTCAGATATTGAACTCACAACTCTTTGGGTGAAGGCACTGGATTGCAACCAACTCTTTTATCCACTATCTGGGACATCAGTGAATTAATTTTGGGAACTTATAAATCTAATGTTTCAGTTACCATTTTTTACCAGAGCTCATATTACAATTTGTTTTTGTTTTTTCTCTAGCACTCTGTATTACTGCTTCCCATATTGTATTTGGAGCATACAACAGCCAAAATGTCATGAATCTGACAATAAAGATGAGGATAACAATCTAAATAATGTAAATAGTTACAATACTGCATTTCAGAAATATAGACAGATGTTAAAGAATCTTCTTTTTCATTTCTGATAAGTTTTTCCATCTTTATTGGTGTTCTTAGTACATTATTCATCATTGATACATTTTTTGACTGTTCCAGCAAGCATCATGAATAGACAATAAATAGCTATCAACTATGATATATATATTACTTAACAACAATAAGTAAATCAACAGAGTTGCAGTGACATAGACATAAATTAATAAGACTGATCAAAACCTGTTGCTGATGATAACTTGCTACTAAAAACTTAAAAAAACATTTGGAGAAAAAATAATAATGGAAGAAAATTACCTGGAAATTGGTGCTTCTATCATGTTGCAATGGATTTTCAGATGAGTTTTGATCTATATGATAGATATTCTCACTTATTTTGACATATTCTGTCAAAGTAACCTACAGAGAAAAAAATGAAAACATCTTATCAAGCCATATATACACCCTATCCAGAAATTATAATACTGCAAATATGACTAAGTTCTTACAGAATTAGAGGTTTCCTGCTTGGAACTTTACAGCATACATGTAAGTGAATGGAAGATATACTTTTAACGTATCTTACTGTCTGATTAATTGTCAACTTTTTCCTTTTTCCTTAATCGGTTCACCCAAAGCAAGGGAACAATGCCACAAGAACACAGGGGGTTACAGGGAGTGAAAGAGAATGAGAAAACTGAAAATGCAGAGGACTGAGTAAAGGGCTATAAAAGGAAAAGGGTTCTAAAAGACAGAAGATGGCGACTGACACTGCATTTAAATTTTTGAAGATTGTTGTTATCAGGGAAGTAGGAAATCAGAAAGGAGTTCCACAGGTGGAAAGTTCGAGAAAAAAAAAACTGTTAGCATTTAGCTTGTTCAACATAAAGCAGTGAAGCTGAGTGTCTAATCTATCAGCACGCTTAATTCAAGTCGTCGAGACAACAGGTAAAAAGCTCATCCAAGCAGTTGTCATGAAAATATTTGTAGAACAGACAGAGGAAAACCATGTCATGACAGTGAGAAAGTGACTGGAGATGAGATGCCTGGTCAGGATCGATTGCATTGCAGATATTTCTCTGGATTTTGTCAAGAATCTTGAGATGCATAGTTGGACCACCAGACCAGATATGGCAATAGTATTCAATACACGGACAAATGGTAGATTTATAAATGTGTAAGATGGGATTCTTATAAGAAAAATTCTTTGGCAAGACATAGAGAACCAGCCTTCTTTGCAGCAGATGTGGCAACTGATTTGGTATAGTCATTCCACTTCATGTCAGTGGAAAATGTGAGGCCAAGAAGCTACAGAGTGTTGCTCTGCTGGAGTTCAGCATCAGCCATGCTGATGGTAGGCAGAAAAGATTCTCTGTGTTGATTAAATGAAAACATTTTAGTTATGGAGGCATTGAAATTTACAAGCAATTTCTTGCCCCAGTTAACCACTGATTGGAGGTCTTTTTCAAGAGTAGTTGTCAGGTTTACTCTCTCAGATCTATTGGATTTGCTACTATCACAGGAGTAAAAGGTAGTGTCATTTGTGTAAATAACTAGTTGGGAACTGATGACATCAAGGAGATCATTGAGGAAGATCAGAAACAGTGTCGATCCAAGGATAGAGCACTGGGGGACTCTGTGTTAGTATGAAATAATCTGACAGCATGTCTGCTCAATATGACCTTTATTACTCAATTAGTTAGGAATGATTGCATTAAGCCAAATATATGACATTGTAGCCCTCGCATGCCAAAATCCTGTCAAATGACTTCAAGATATCCAGAGACACCACCTGAGCTTCACCATTCATATCTAAAGCTTGATAGGTAACTTCAGAGATGGCCATTAACATGTCAGGGGGTTACCTGGCAAAACAAAAGCCATATTGTTTGTCTAAAAGGAAGTTGTGCTAAGTAAGATGCGAAACCAGTTTGGTATTGATTAAGGCCTCAAATACTTCATCGAAAAGAGGTAAGAAGCTAGTAGGTTTGAGTAGATCAGAGGGTTCCCCAGAGTTATCAAAAACAGGAATTATGGAGGACAACTTCCAGCAAGCTGGAAAGCAGGAAGCAGCCAAGTATTTGTTGTAAAGTCTGGAGAGAACAAGAGCCATATCAGGAGCACATTTCTTTAAGACAACATCCAGGATAAGATCTTGGTGGCACATTTCTGAGCAGGATGATTTATAATATCCTTCTAGAGCACATCATGAAGGAAGTCATGAAATGAGTCCCAATCAGTGCATTGATAACAAAAAGAAATTCTGTTAATTCATAACTGGTGGGAGATCAGAAAGAGATATCAATAGATACCACCACATGATTGGAGTTACCAAGAGGACAGAGATACAGCACTTAACAGGAGTCTGGTTTTACAGTCATTTCACTCAAAGCAAGGCAATAAAGCCACTAAGATGCAAGGGGTTATTAACTGTGGGAGAATATGAGAAAAAGAAAAATATGAAAGAAAGAGAACAATAAAAGAAATTATGGTCAGATCTATTACAAGTAATACATTGAGTCTATTGCTTTGTAAAAGATCTCATTTATGTTCATATAATCTTTTATTTAAATTCCTTGATGTCTCACCTATATATTACTTGGGACTAGAAAAAGTGTTATTCTCTTGTATGCACACTCTGCAAAAAAAAAATAAAATCATTAGGATGGGAGGTTATTCTAGCAGCTATGGAATTTTAAATTTTGTGTGTTTTTTTTTTTGGTGTGTGTGTGTATGTTTATATATGATAAACAAAGTAGGTAGAAGCATACAAAAACTTCAGTTTCTACTATGGACTGTTTATCTTCTTTTTTCTATGGCGACTGGAGTGAAACAAAGTTCTAAATGTCTCTTAGGTATTTCCATTTTCTTTTTTGCTTCAGAATTAAGTTATAGCAAATAAGGATAATAATGGTTAAAATGGCCAAGCTCCAATCAGCTTTGTGCTGAGTTGGAACAACCAAATTACTTAGTTCATGAACAGGAATGCAAGGTACATCCGAACGCTATGGTTGGAAAGTGGAAAAGAGAAAGATCTGGTACTTTCCAGAATTGGTGTCATAAGATTGCATAGATGAGCAAAAACCATTTACGGTTCTTTATTACCTGCATCATGGGAAAATTAATTTCTTTTTTCTTTATTATTATTTTCTTTATTGGTTTTATTTCATTTCCTCACACACCTTGTTTCCTGTTTAGGATTAGGTTTCCATTTCCTTCTAAAGTCTGCTTCAGCTCTATACTCCTAGCACTTGTTCTTTCCTATGCTAATATAAGACCACACAGTAACCCTCTATCTTGAGTGGCTCTTTGGCCTTCTATTGGGTAACATTAGTAATAAAAGAAACAAAAAAAAAACATTTTTTTAAAAATTGTTTTGATCCTGAGGACATTTCACTGGCAGCAAAACATTCTGAAACAAAGAACTATTGGGGAGGGAAAACCCAAATTTTGTTAAACGTGATATTGAAAATTCCCTTCTCCCTGGGCTGCAGTCATTGAAATTGAAGATAATTAAATTCTTGATAAATAATCTAGGCCATCACAATAAACATCTATGCTAAAAAAAAAAAGGAAGATAAATGAAACTGAAAAAGACAATATAACTGTAACTGAAAAAATTACTAACTGGTCTGAAATTGTTGGTGTAGAGGTCCGCTTTTAGAAAAGATTTCAGGTCATCCATATTGTTTAGGGTTGCACTCATTCCTATAATCTGGCAAGGGACTGAAAGAAGAAAAAAAGATGTTTGCACAAATCTCAATTTTCTTTTATTTTGACAGTTCCTATCAGCTCAATCTTGGTCATAAAAATGTAAATTATAGCTCTTAAAAGTTAGACAGGAAATAAACAGTCAATAGTTACAATTTATATGAGGTTGGATCAATAAGTCTCTCCCACACTCTACTCTGCCATCCATTCACTCAAGCTCACTAGGTAGGTTATGCATTGTTTTCCTCTGTCCTGTGAGTATCAAATTTAACAAGCCCTCTTTCCTCAGTATGTGACCTAGGAATTTCAACTATGTCTTTCTGATGTTAAGTATAAGTGTCCTTTTTGTTTCCATTGTCTCTAGAACTTTGTCACTGCTCACACGTTTGGTTCATAGTATTCTCACCATACTTCTGTAGAACCACATTTTTGTTGCTTCGTCTTTTCTTTATCTGCAAGGAGATTGTTCAGCATTCATTGCCCCATAGTAGGACTGATATTACATAACAGTTTAGTGCTCTTTTCTTTGTTTCTAACAATTTTTTTTCTGTATCTTAATACTTTGCTTAAATCTTGAAAGGCATCTTTCATTATCCTAATACACTTCTGAATTTCAGTGGGGCACATTCTAGTCCTCTATTATAATGCTTCCCAGCTATTTAAACCGCTGTACTTGTAGGATTTCTCATTATTTGGCTGAAGGTTTATTAAACTGTTTGTGTGTGTGTGTGTGTATATATATATATACTACAGTTCAAAAGTTTGAAGTGACTCCTATAATTAGCATGGGATGAACTTGACAGAAGAGCGAAAAAAAAAATGAAAATGTGCTCTTAGAGTCATTGAAAAAAAAGACTAGAATCAATTATCAAACTTATATTTTGAGAAACTTTTGCAACGAATGCCAAAGATTTGTGCTGCAGTAATCAAGGCTAAAGGAGGATATTTTGACGAGAGCAAAATTTAATCATTAAATGCTTTTTTTCTTTTTGCCATAATAAAATTTCTAATAAAAATCAAGTTTCAAATTTTTTTAGCCATATATAATAATTTTCTCTTATTTAAAGTACAAAGCAAGAACTTTTTGAGCCAATTTAAAAAATTACCAGGGGTAGCCTTTAGAACTGTAGTGTGTGTATGCATATATATATATATATATATATATATATATATTTCGAAAGTACTTTGAAGGCCTACAACAATAATATCAACTATAAATGCATATCAAAAACATTATATAACATCACCAAATTTTATTGAATCCATTCTTAAAGAATCTAATGTATGTTTATCTAAAACAAATAGTATATATGAAAAAATGTTCCCAAATCAACATGTGAAAAACCAACAAATATGCCTACTAGATACACACACACGCTTACAAATATACATTATCATCTGAATTGCCCACAGACAAAATAGATTTATTATACACTTATTTAGATGAAGTAATATTTACAGTTTTTCAGTTAGTCTTGGAATCCATTAATTTCTTGAAATTTCGAATGGATGCATCACTTCTCCTTGAATTCGAAACATCACAAATTATACTAACATTTGTTTAACAAGTCAAATGCATGTGAAACATGATTAGCCAATAAAAGTCTAACAACACAAATGTAAAAATAACAGAATTTCTTTCTTCTTTTTCTCCATATCACATTTTCTGATGAAGCTTTAATAAAATGTTAGATTGATAAACGTTTCGTATTTGTTCTTTATCTGATCATTCTGTCAGATTCCATTCTATATTTGAGGATATTTGATCCCAACTCATAAAATGTACACTCGAAGTCATTTATTATAATCACAGATATTATCATCACATGGTGTTAAAAAGGTCAATCAGTCCAAATATTTTACTTTAAGTTAATAAAAAAAATTATTTGCTATAAATAAATCATAGTATTTTTTTAATATATATACATATATATATAAAATACATAAAAGGTTAATGGTCAGAGTTGAATCAGACCAGGAAACAGTAATATTAAAAAGTGCTCAATACGCATGTAAAAAAAAACAAAAGTAAAAATAAGATGTATAGATGTTAGCTTTAAAAATCAGGAGGTTAGTTGAATCCGCTACCTTGGTTTCAACCTTACAGTATCCTCAGGCGATTTTTATCAAATGACCACCTAATGGTTCTTTTATTTTTTTTTAAAAAACTAAAGAATGCTATATTGTGGTTGCAGTTCAGCGCCAATATGTGACGCCTACTGGTCGCGACATCAATATATGACACTGTGCTATCAGCCTGTGGTCAACTCCCAGTTGCGGCATGAAGCTGTAAGGTTCCTTCCACCAGCGTTTGGGGTTGATTCGACACTACCACCAGCCTGTGTCCCGGTCGATCTGGTCGTTCATGGTTCGATACCAACTTGTCATTCCCAGCTCACCGCCAATGTCTGATTACTGAAGTAACTGCTTTGATCTCAAGTCTAACCTACCCACGTTGTGATTTGATCTTAGGTAGATAAAATCAATCAGGTGTCAGGTCATAGTGAAAGCTGAATCTGGGGTAAAGGTGATACTGCACAAGTGTAAGTAAAAGAAATAATAAAACAAACTCACGAGGTTCAAATATGTTGAGGAATAACAATTATCTTTGATGTATTCTATACAAGTTCAAATTTGAAGTTCAAATACAGTAAATTCGACCTTGCTAACCGAACACGCCTCTGTGGCCAAATCGGTAAAGGCACGTCAAGCTAAATGACAGTTCTGTATAGGATATAGGTTCGAATCCTGTTGGAGGATGAATATTTTCTGTGAAAATTTCTTGGACATTCAGGCAAGTAAATGTTGTTTAATACCGTTTATTATAAACAGAGCATTTACTTAAATATTTTATCTATAAAAAGAATGTATAAACATAAAATGTCTTAAAAAATATATATATATATATATATATATATATATATATATATATATATATACAAACACACACACACACATACGGGCATATTCTTGAAAACTACTTACATTGAATTTAAGATTTTTATCAGTGTGGCTTCCAATATGGCTCCACGACTGCCTCCTTCTCCTAACATATGCAACTAAGAAAAAAAAAAGGAAAGAATATACAATGGTTTGAAAGAAATCAAAGAAAGCAAAGCATGAATGATACAAAGTTAAAAACTATATCCAAATACTACCAAAATCCTCCACTAAGGGCAGGGGGGGGGCACACAGTTGTTTCTCACTGACTTTTATCTAAGTTGATGCTTCTCAAACTGTTGATATACTTCTTTCATGTCTGTTTATATTTCCAAGATGGCCCAGTTGGTTGAAGTAATCCAGTGCCTTGACCCAAAGAGTTGTGAGTTCAGTATCTGGCTACAGCAGAGGTGAACAAAACTTGGAGAATTGAGTTACTAAAGGGAGATAACTGAAACTGAGATATCCAGAACTAGAACAATCTACTAAAAGAAATAATGAGTTCAGTTCAAAATTCTAATGTATATCACCTGAAGGCCAGAGTGTACAATGGCCAAAATGTCATGAATGTAACAATAGAGATGAGGAAAATGGTTAAAATAATGTAAGGAAGATACTTTATATAAGAATTTAGATTATAATGGAGAAGCTATGAAAGGTTTTTTGCCTTTGGCATTATCATATCAATGATATAATAACACTGTATTTCATGGATGGAATGGAATAGCTGAAAGGAAGACGAATGACAAACATGCTTTGTTCACTTAGAGATATCTGTAAGAGGCATGGCACATGGAACTAGAAAAATCTACCTAGGTGAACAAAATAAAGGGTTTTGTTCAAAATTCCAATGTATATCACCTAAAGAAGGCCAGAGCATACAACGGCCGAAACACTGAATATGACAATAAAGATGAGGACAACAGTCTGAACAATGTAAATAGTGTAAATACTTTCATGTCTACCAAAAAAGTTGCAATATATTAAAGTTTCTGGGGGGTGCTATGTATTTTGTCATCCCAGTTGTTTTTTGAATTCAGTATTTGCTGTTTGTACATTATCACACTAATTAATATGAGAAAAAAAAAGTTTTTTCCTTGATCTTCATTATGGACAAAAGTATGGTTGATAGCACTATGTAACATTGTGCACATGAAGAGGAGGAGAATTAAGTTAATGTTAAGAATTAAGGAAACAAAAAAGAATCCTCCTATCTAATAAATGGTCACACAGGTTGTTGGAAATATATCATATTTATGAAACATGGTATATTTAACAGGATCTATTGACAGCCACAAGTCTAGCATTAGCCAAGCCATTGCAAAAAACAGAAAAAGAAGATGGGTGGGGCAGGTTTGAATGCCTTTTCATTTGCCCATGAACTAATGAATCAGCAATTAGCAGGGAATGAGGATTATTCAACTGAAAAAAGGAGTACCTCACTAAATTTTTCAGAAAAAACTTTTGCCCCTTATTGAAAACACATGGTCTAAAACTACTAGACAGTTAAAGGCAAAAGGATTAAAAGTCTTTTTTACTCACTTCCTCTCTCTGTCTCTCTCTATCCTTCACTGACAAATAATCAGTAACATTTCCTCATGAAGGCAGTCAATACAGACTATTGTGCTATTTAATACTATTAAGAAAAAACCTTTCTCCTGGTGAAAAGAGAGCTAATTTGATTTCCAGTAAGAAACAGAGACAATCCAATTTTGGTATACTGGTCTCAAGAATGCTATGGAAACTAACAGTGTGAGACAACCAACTTGGTCCACTATGAAACAACAATAGTTATTGCCAAACAACCTTTCAAGTCACATGCTCGACCACATATAATTTTGTGACAATGTCATAACTAGATCCTAAATATAAAAGTAAATGTAACAAGTTTCTCACTCATGAAGACATTAAAAGGATTCATTGAGAGAAAAGAAGAGAGAACATCAAATTTTTTTCCCCCTGAATATTTTTAATAGCACAAGCTAAAAAAACACAAAACTTACTTTGGTGTGAAATTTTCAGAGAAACAAACATTTATTACAATAAAAAAAATAGTACACATTACAATATAGGCTCTGCACAAAATTTCCCTTGTTATCATCAAGGCAGCTTAACAGTTCTTTCATATACAAATCAGTTTTCTATTAAAAATCTACAGTTCATGTAAAGCAAATGTTTTCCTTAATAGAATTTTAAAAACTTTCTTTTACAACAGTTCATATAAATCAATTTTTTAACAACAAAAAAGTTTACTTATTTAAAAAAGTTCATGATTCAAAATCTCACTAATTGAAAGTTGAAATTCAAAGGGAGGTTAGAATGGTTGATCCACTTTGGTGAAACTGTTTTCTGGGTCCTTTTGATGAATGTTCAGATTTTTGGAATAGTTTCCTCAAATTTGAGATAAACTTTCACAAGTCTATCAAAGTAATTTATATAATGATTTAGAAGATTTTTTTCTTCTTCTATCTTATTCATTAGTAACAGTAGTATTCTTTAATCATTTCATGTGGTTTATTACTTTTCTCAATAGAAGCTGACTTTTACACAGTGATGGTTAAACTTTTCAGCCTGATGACAACCTTTCATCTGAGTGATGTAATCCTTTCTCAGCAGTAGCCTTTCATTCAAGTGTGATCAACTTTTCTGCTTTGCAGTTAAGATTCTCATTCTTATGAAGAAAACACATGGATCAAAATAGACATGTCATCCAAATTCCTTAGGAGAGTATACTATCAAGAGTCACCATCCAATCAGACTGTGCCTGTTTTCAATTAAAATTTAGCTGGTTTTTGAAAACGTCAAAGCCAAGCTGATTGTGTAAAACTGTTGCTATTGGCAGTTTAAATTGCCTAGCTTTATTTTGGAAGGTTTTTATAACATCAATTTGGAGCCAATTATTTTCTTCAAATCTTTACACATCAATTTTCATCTTTTTTTAATATGATCTGTTTGGTTTCATTTTGGTTGTTTCTTTTCCAAAGAAATGATGTTAGTAACATTCTAATTTTCAATATTAACTTTTTTATTAAAATAGTTTCTATATTAATTTTTACACTATTCCAATAATATTTTTCTGTTACAATTTTAATATTATCATTTTTTTCATTAACATAATTTTTATATAATTACAGTCTAACAAGACTGGCCTAAGGACCTGACCATAACATAATTGAGCCTATGAGTAGAGAGCTGAAATTGTATTCTTCCATCTTACATTGAGTTGTAGTTTGTGTCAATGAGAGCCATACTAAATACTGGTTACGACTTTTTACGCCTGTAAAAATATTAATGTATTTTGTGCAATTTTTTGGCTGCTACTGGATATATCATCATATACCATTAATAATAGAATATGCACAAATTATTCATATAAATAAATATATATACAAAGAAAAGAAGTTAAAATCTTACCTCATCAACAACAACCAGGCCCAACGTGTTCATTCGATCAAGCTCAATGAATTGATTAACTAGACTGTGTGCTTTCTCAATGGTTGCAACATACAGGGAACTTTTTTCTCGACGTTTTGTGGGAGGATAACGACCTTTGCTGCCCGCATATTCCTCAACAAGAAAATCCAACTCAACTGCCATTTCAGACAGAGCTTTCACCTACATTATTAGAAGAAAATCTATTATTAAAAGAACATTTTTAATTGCCATTATTAAAAGAAAAAATATGTGTTAATGTCCATATGTACTGCCAATATTCTCGTGAAAAAGTAGATGCTATAGAATTTTTTCAATACTAGAATTCATCCAATACAAGGCTTGAGAACCACTCAAGGTAGAAGCTTAGTGCTAAAATGGTTAAGATCAATAAGGAATGTGATATGAATGAAAGAGGCAGTGGTAGGAAGTGAAAATAAGGAGAATAGATAATGGTTTATTCCTTGACATGGAAAAGACAAAATTTTTGTGTTCTGGGAAGCACCCACGTGGGAATCAGTTTCATGAAAAGCTGAGTGGAACTTTCTTCTTACATTTGGAATATGGAAGAAATGAGGGTGATGAGATAAAAAGAATAAAAAAAAATGTGATATGAATGAAAGAGGAAGTGGTAAGAAGGGAAAATAAAGGAGAATAAATTCTGTAACACACTTGGTATTACAACTTTTTGACCATACATTACTATACTGTCATATATAGAGTATGCATTAAGTCTGGATTTCATTTTTTGTTGCTTTCTTTCAATTGATTTTTTTATATTTACAATAAAGACGTCACATTCTGTTTTTTCTTTTATTTCATCCAGGGTCATTGGTAATTCTCGTACTACATTCCACAAAATGTTTTTTTTTTTCCATTTTGCTTTTTAACACTGCAATGACCATGTCTTCCAATGGTTCCACATTTTAATCTAGATAATCCATCTGCATGTCCTAATTTTTTTAGATGGTTAGTACTCCATTGTAAAATCATAGTTTAATAGGATGGTACCTTAGCACTGTAGTCTATTAGCTGTATTAGTAAGTATACTTTTCTTTGAACCGTATATTATTAATAAACATCTGTGGTCTGTTTGCAATGTGAAAATTTCTTCAATGAATAAATTTATGAAATTTCATCACAGCGAATATAATTGCTATTCTAGCAATTATATTCGCTGTGATGAAATTTTATTATTGGAATTCTTTTTCGATCTGGTTGTAATTTTTCTCTGCTGTTAGAAGCAAGCATAAAGCATGAGTGAAGGCTTTCATTTTACTGCCATCATATTTGGGTAAAATCACTTCCCCAATAATGTACTCCCGAGTATCTGATGCCACTACAATGTCTGTTTTTGGGTCATAGTGTGCTAAAAATTAAATCTGACCTATGTCTTTTTTTATTTTGTCAACTGACTTTGACATTTATCATTCCAATTCCACTTTACCCCTTTTTTAAGTAGATTGTTCAATGAAGCCCTTAACTTATGCATATTATGTACATAAATTTGATAGTAATTAGCCTGTCCTAAAAAAAAAAAGCTTGTGATGTAGTCACATTTGTAAGTGGAAGTATATTTTTAATCGCATTTGCCTTTGACAGATCTATAATTTGACCAAGATATTTAATTTTAATTTAATTTTCAGGAAAAACAATTCAGATTTTTCTTCACTAAGCATGAATCCATATTCTTTTAGTTTTCCCAAAATTGTTTTCATATGACCAACATGTTCTTTTGATAAACTTTTAATCAAAATATCATCCAGATATGCCACTGTGAAATCGCAAACTGCAAGCATGGTATCCATGGCTTTGTTCAGTAAAAGCTGGTGCCACCTTTATCTCAAAAGGAACTCAGTTAAACTTGTATAATTCTGTTTATTTATGGTTGTTAATTCAGAACATTCATTTTCAATCTGAATTTGTAAATATGCTTCAGAGAGATCCAGTTTTGAAAATATTCTTCCTCTTGACTTTTTGATGGGTAGTTATATTTCTAAACAGCTGATTAATCCCATTGAGAAATCCACACAAACACAAGTTCTATTATTTCTTTTCTTTACATACATCACTGGTGCTGGTCCATTTTGAATGGCTAATGTTATTTCTACTACATCAATTCTTTTGAGTCAGTTCAACTCTGTTAACTTGTTCTATACTGGTGTTGAAAATCGGCCTTGAATTTTGAACACTGACCCAGTTCATTTGCCAGAACATCTGTAAAACATTTTTTTAATTCTTCCTTAAGATTTTCACTCTAACTTTTTAAACTGGTTGTTTGTCCTCTTTTGTTTTTACAATAAATGTTTATTGGCAAATCCCAAAATTCAAATAGTTCCATCCAGTCAGTAATAAATAAATTTGTAGCATTTCTTAGTACACAAGCTTTAGTTTTTACATGCTTATTATAAAAATGACTAGTCATTTAGTCATTTCTAAAAAAAAAAAAAAAAAAAAAAACAAACATAACAATTTCTCACCAGAAACTGAAATTGCAACTTTGGAAGTCTTTTTTTTTAATAAAGGCTTCCCAATTTCCTTTCACGTGGTTTCACTGATTATTGATATATCACTACTAGTGTCCAGTAGCATTTTCAAACCCACATTATTTATTTTCACATTTACAAATTTCCTTTTGTTTTCTGTGACCATTTTTTGATCACAATGCTGTATACTAATTTCTTTCAATTTTGTCTTGGTTTGGTTTTGCAATGTGACTTTATATGTCCATTTTACCACACTTGTAACATTCTGATTTTTTTAAATTGACAGTCTTTTCCATGATGTAATTTACCACATCTGAAACAAGGATTTATTCTGCTTTTTGTACATTTGTCCTTTATTTGTACCAATGCACATTTATTTCCTGAATTTCTTCAGCATCATGTTTCAGATTAAGCATGTCTGGCGATTGTCCACTATTTCTTACAGTGTAATATTACAGTTTTGTTCAATTTTTGTTAAAGTTTTTGCTCATAACTTAGCAACATTTTTTAGCTGTGAAACCTTGCACAAAAATTAATCTTTTGAACATATCAGGAGCCATTTCTCTTATTCTAAACTTTTCACATTCTTTGTTGATGATTCCAACATATTTGACAAAATCTTCAACCTCTTTTTTGGTTAAATTCATGTGCCTCCACCAAGCATTGAACAGAGAGCTCTTGTCACTAAAGATTTTCATCAGAACATGTATTGTGTCTTCAAACCCAATTTCACTTAGTTTTCTTGGTAATATATAGTTGCAGTCTTTTTCATACTCTATCAGAGCTATTTTCCTCAACAACAATCTCATTTGTGCCTCATCTTCACAGCTGCTGTATTCCTGACTGAATATTTGTTCATATCTACAAAAATACGCAGAAAAAGTCAGTTCCTTATCAGGATTGTATACAAATTCTGATATGGCAGTTCGGACAGTGTCTAGCTTAAGAGACGTTGAAGATTTTTTTGTTTTTCTTCAGAATTATATCTTTTGTAATTCTAGCAACTGTTGATAATGTTGTTGAATTTCAACTATGGAAGCGAAAATTTTGTAATTCCAGTTACAACCCGTATGAGTTTCCAAAATCCTCGTTACAATGGTTATATGTTGTAAAAGTTCCGAATCCTCGACACAATGGTTATAAATCGTCTCAGTTTCGAATCCCTTGTCACCATATAATGTCACTATTATATAGCTATTGTTATAACACATTCTTGCTTTATATAACATACTTTGTATAATGATTCTCTATATGTAATGCTTCAGCTACTAGCTGTGATACCTATACAGTTAGTCTGAAAATTGACTCCAAACAGCTCTTAGTCTTACCTCTGACTTGGAGCTCTTATAGTTATGGACTAGTTAATATAGTCAATTGGGGTGTACTATTTACTCCACAACACTTTCACAAAACTGAATTTTTTGTATTTAGAATAAACATTTCTACTTATTCAATAGAATAACACAATAAAGAAATTTGCTACCGATAATGCCCCAATGACTAGTACATATAAATAGCTGAGCTACTATCCAATTCACATGGCCTGAAAATTACATTCAAGCATGAAACAGACTGTCACCATTTGGTATTGAACCCTGTGTCTATACTGTTTATATTTATATATCTCAGAATGGATAAGATATACAGGCTAAAATTCTCATATGTTATGTAATCATGAGGACAATAGGGAAGTAGAAAAAAAAACTCATAACAACAATTATTCTTGATACTGTTATTGAGAATTTATTTTGTGAGAAGTATGAGAGAAGAAACTTTTTTTTAATCATTTCACCCAAGCAAGGCAATAAAAGCCACTAACACACAAAGGGTTATTGAGTGTGAAGCTATATGAAAAAAGGAAAATGCTATTAAGGAGAGAGAAAAATTTGTCTAATATGTTAGAGTTCTGAGAAGGGGAGAGATAAAGGAAAAAGAGATAGCTAACAGAGTGCAATAAAGAAAGTCAAAGGCACATGAAAGACTCATCTGGGAACTAAAGAAATGATTCCTTTACCATTGGAAACATGCATGTGTATCCTAGAATCTTTTTGTTAAAGAGGAAGATAGCTTAGAACAGAGAATTCAATGGTAGCAATAGAAGAGTTTAGAAAATAAATAGTAATAAGCCTGTTACCTTTTCTTGAACTATGGAGATGTAAGGAAGAATCAGCATAGCATTTTTTTTCTTACAGAGCAGTTCTCTTAGAATGACGATTTCAGCAACAAGGGTTTTGCCACCACTTGTAGGAAGGGAATAGATCAGATTGCTCCCTGATACCAATGCTGGTAGAGAAAGGCATTCTTCTTGCCAGTCTGTTGAATGAAAAGAATACAAAATTAAGTTAAAACAAAAAGAAGTCAAGCATTTGCTGAAGTAATTAAAATCCTGTATTATAAAACTTTGTCTTATATTTAAAACTGGGATTGCCAATCCATAAGTGTACAACATGATTAAATGTGATGTTGTCAGGTGTTCAGAAACTAATGTCACTTTCTTTCAGCAATCTGTCTAGTCTCATCGAAGCCTAGAAGAACATTGGTCCCCCATGTCCACTTGCCTGGATTTTAACAGGTAGCGTTGTTCTCTTATGCAAGGCAGCGAATTCGTTTTGCTCCTGGTAAGTCACTGTCACATCTATTATAGATGTATTACATCTCAGTGATTTTTGTCAATTGGTATACAGTACCCACTCATAAGTTTCTTTGTTTTTTTTAATCATTTCACCCAAAGTAAGGCAATAAAGCCACTCAGACAGAAAGAGTTATTGAGTGTGAGAGAATATAAGAAAAGAACAAAAAAAATGAAACTTTATTAACCCTTTCACATTCAACATGCTCAAACCCACCCTTGTAAATATTGGCCCTCAAAGCCTCACTGTTTATGTGACTTCCTGAATTATTTGTGATGATGATGCCACATATTATGGCAGAGTGTACATGGGAGGAGTAACAGCAGGTTAAACATTGAGAGCTGATATTAATGGGGATGGGGTTTGGGTGGATTTGAATGCAAAAGTGTTAAGTAGAGAGGACAATAAAAGAACAGGAATTAAGAAGACAGAAGATAACAATTGACATTGCATTTAAATTTTTGAAGATCAAAGCTGACTGGGAAGCAAGAAGCCAGGAGAGACTTTCACAAGAGAGAAGTGCAATAGAAGAAACTGTTAGCTGTAGCTTAAATAAGTCTGTATTGCTGCAACATCCCTTGGACAAATCACAATATCGCTGGTTCAATTCACCGTCCTCGCTTTCGTCACACGTCACCAATGTTTCTGTCCCCTTTTTCACGGCTCCAGCACTCTTTTATCAGGCCAACACCGCAGTTCACCAGCCAATCAGCGTTCTTCGCTGTTATTCTTGGTTACACAGGCAAATTGCCTCCTCCAGTTCGACCAATCAGCACACGACTTGCTATTGGTGGAAGCATTCCAAACTGTACAAAAAACCCTCATCATTGCACATACTGCTAAAATGGCTGGACGGGAGAGTAATGCCATTTTCATGAAGCAAACTTGCTGATGTCACGTGGCACACGTTAAGGAAAGACCCTTATTTTCCTATACACCAGATGCAAGCCACACTGACTCGCTTGCTTCTACGGGGCTGTTCACCACATTAGCATAGAACTTACAGTTACATCTAGCCATTTCAAATGTAAGATGATGAGACCTTTCTTACAATCTAGTATCGTGTTTAAATTCATAAAGTCTAGGTACCAAAGAGGAAAGTTCATCACAACAACATGAAAATATTTACAGAAAAGGCACAGAGAAGCTACATTATGGCGGTGGGAAAGTGACTGAAGCCAATATGCTAGGTCAGGACCAATAATATTGTAGATTCTTTGTATTTTATCCAGAATCTCTAAATATATAGCAGAAGCACCAGACCAGATGTGGCAGCAATATTCAAAGCAAGGATGAATGGTAGACTTATAAATATGTAAGATAGATTCTTCTTTGGATTTTATCAAGAATCTCTAAATATATAGCAGAAGCACCAGACCAGAAGTGGCAGCAATATTCAAAGCAAGGATAAATGGTAGACTTATAAATATGTAAGATAGATTCTTCTTTGGATTTTATCAAGAATCTTTAAATATATAGCAAAAGCACCAGACCAGATGAGGCAGCAATAGGAGGAATGGTAGGCTTCTAAATGTGTAAGATAGATTCTGTCAAGAAAAATTGTCTATCAGGACACCATGAACCAACTTGCTTAGCAACAGATCTAGCAATTGATTTGATATAATCTTTCCACTTCATATCAGTAGAAAATATTAGCCTGAGAAGGCTCAATGAGTTACTCTGCTGGATGTTAGCATCAGCCATGCTAATGGAAGGTAAAAAGCATTCTCTCAGATGATTAAAAGAGAGCAGTTTATGTTTTGGAGGCATTAAAATTAACAAGCCATTCCTTACCCCATTTAACAACAGATAACTTCTAAATAAATTTTCAGTTCTTTTCAAAAATCTAGATTTGTTGATATGTATAACTCTTCTTTTTGCATCTGTCTATATTTCTGAGATGAGGTATTATGTACACTATTTACATTATTCGGACTATTGTCCTCATCTTTGTCGCCATGTTTATCACAACGTTTCAGCCATTGTATGCTCTGGACTTCTTCAGGTGGTTGGAATGTTGAACTGAAATATTAATTTATTTATAACTATACCCTGTTCTAGTTCCACGTGCCATGTCTAACCAGGTATTGATTTCATGCTCTTTGGGTCCTGTCACTGATCCAGTGACAGGACCCAAAGTGTGTGAGTTCAATACCCGTTTAAGGCAGTGGAGAACTTTCAGAGGGAAATTAGCAGGAGATAACTGATAACTGACATCCATCAAACATGGAACTAGAAATGTCTACCCCAGTGAGCGAAATAAACGGTTCAGTTCGAAATTCCAACCACATGAAGAAGGCTGGAGCGTACAACGGCCGAAATGTTGTGATAAATATGGCGACAAAGATGAGGACAATAGTCCGAATAATGTAAATAATTTATGGCAAATAACACATTTCTTGTAAATATCATTTAGAAGATCTTCAGTTTCCTGATCAACATTGCCTGCTGTTATCAATATGTTTAACAATTTCTTGTGCGAAGCATGACCAAATTGTTTATGTAACTGTACAAATGTGTTTCTCATTTTTTATTATTGTGCTGCTACCATTGATCAATGAAAATTCAAGTAGAAATTAATTACAGTTCACAGAAGTTGAAGAGTCATAGACTCTCCAGACATCAGAAGTTAAAGTGGCAAAGGTTCCTCAGGTATTAGAAGTTAAGTGAGAAAGAGAAATTTTAACCAGCTTATATTTGGTTCATTGGGCAAATGCAAGTTGAAATGAAGGGAAAAAAGCCTGGTGCTGCTTGAAACTATCTATTAAGTTTGGGGAGGAGAAATAATTGAATTAGCAGTTTACAAAAGATATTTGATATGTTGGCAGTATTTTCTATTTGGGAATCAGCATAATTAAACATCTTTTGTCTCAAAGACAGGAAATTCACTGAAATTGGTTAAAAATAATTAATAAAGAGAATACACAAAATCTGTCATATTTTTATTAAAAGTTCTTTCCACTTAAAAATGGGTGATAATTCCCATGTTGTAAGCTTGTAGTTTAATATTCCTCTGGTAATTTCCTTATGCATTCACTCAGGACCATAAAACTTTAAGAATTGCTGGAATGTGACAAATTAAAGATTTAAAAATACCTTGGGTATCATAAAAGTTAACTTAAAATTCTTTGATTTCACTGATGTCCTGACTTTAAAACCAGAATTATAATGTTGAGAATTGCCAATCACCATTTGATCATCTTAACCTTAAACACTCTTTAGGCAACTTCAGTGACCAAGGAAACCATTGTAGTTGACACCAGTCACCAAATAAGAGTATATTTAAATTTTACAATTGTGTTGTCACATCCTGCTATAGCAACAGTAAAAACCAGTTCTGACTTAAATTGAGATCAAGGCTACTGCAGTTCGCATTTGAGGAGGTATCATATATGGCGGAAGGATAAGGAATACGGTAGAATGCTAAAGGTCAAAGATTGTCACATATTTGTTTGAGGTGGGGGTGTAAAAATAAAGATTCTTACCATAGAGTTTTTTAATACCACGTTGACTCTCAAAGAGATGCTTTACTTTGGAAGGTAGGCCGTAGAATGGGCCAAGTTCAAAATTAGTATGACCTGCTTCTTTCTCTTTCTGGAATGTCTCTATGCATTCTGTCGCAAGAGCCAGTTTTTCCTGTTGCAGGTTAGAGACCAATGATATAGGGCTCTTCTCTTTGGCATTCTGGAACAGACGCTGACGAATACGGTTTTTAAGAAGTGATGATGAAGATGCAGTTGTTTCTGTCGTTAAGGCTGTAGTTTGTTTTTCCACATTGGATTTTATGTCCCCTGACAAATCTTTCTGAATTGGTCAAAAAAAAATAAAAAAGAAAAAAAGTGTTATATAGGAATGCTGACACTTGAGTTTGAACATAGAACACCAGTGGGCAAACACAAGCAATCCCATTATTGAATTAAGTAGACCATGTGACCATAGAGGAAACACATAAGTAGGAAGTAGTGTGATGTCTAAACAATCTCCATTTTTAGTCTATCCTCTATTACTATTTGGATCTCCATTTCTACTCTATCCTTTATTACTATTCAGATCTCCATTTCTAGTCTATCCTCTAATACTATACAGACCGCTATTCTCTACTCTATTCACTATACTATTTCTCTATTCAGATCACTATACAGTGGTTACTACTTTGAGCAAGTATTATCGAGCAAGTACTATTAGTGCGAGTGTTATTTGAAGTTGTCTGACAACATCATTGTTCAACAGCATACTATAGTTGTATCTGCGATTACAAAGTCTCTACTACAATGAGCATTACAAAAGTGACAATGAGTATTTGTTAACATCACAAAAGTGGCAACAAGTGTTTGTTGACATCACAAAAAGAAGAAATCTATGTTTGTAAGTTTTAGAAGTAAAATAAATTTGTTCATTTTGTGATTAAATATGTTGACTGTGTGTTTCATGGAAACACATCCACTCTTCAGGACATCTGATAGTGAAGTTCAATATATATTTCTTCAAATGTTATTGTAGTAGATACTTCATATTTGAAATAAATGCTTCATTTTTATTTATTAAACAGTATTTATTATGTCTGTCAGCCAGCACATTCTAAAAATCTTAATAAAGAAAATGCAGGAATCAAACATGCTTCCCCCTTTCAAGGAGAAACCACCATTTGATCCAGTAAGCATTAGAGCTTGGCAATGAAGAATGTCACAGCAAGCAAGGTTCTATTTTCCCTTTTTTAAGGAAAGTGCATCCTCTTTACTCAATTTATTTTTTCCCAAAAAAGCCCACATCTGCTCACTTTCACATGCAAAATGTAAACAAACCAATCTCTAATGAATTAATAGATTTATTTTTTATCCAAAATATTTATTACTTCAACCATTATTATCATGGATACATTCAAGAAATTTTGGTAAAGAAAATGTATTCCCCAGCAAGAATTGAATCTGCCTTCCCTTTTTGTGGGAAAGCCAGTCTGTTTTACAGTTTAGCAACGAAGAACATCACAGCAAGCAAGGTTCTATTTTCCCTTTTTTAAGGAAAGTGCATACTCTTCAATCAGATTATTATCTCAAAAGCTTCATATCTGCTCACTTTCACATGCAAAATGTAAAAAAAAAACAAATTTGGCACCAATATTTTATCTGGTTATGTTGATCGAGTGAAAGTGTTAAAAATAAGATAAAATTTACAAAAGGAGTGAACTAAGGTTCAAAATGGCTGATATTAGCCATGATGATTAAACAAATACATTTAAGGAATGTTTGATTTTATATGTTTAGCATAAAATTAGCTATTGAATTATTCAATGTGTTGTGTTAGTATTTTGAAAAGGTTGATTCGATTTGATTTATTTATTAAATTCAGAGGTTAGTCAAATTTATGAATCTTTTTAAATCTTTTAGAAATTTAAAAAATAAATTAAAATATTTAAAATATCCTAAAATGATAATAGTGAGATTAACTCTTTCCATGTAATTAATAGATTTATTTTTTATCCAAAATTTTTATTACTTCAACCATTATTATAGTGGATACATTCAAGAAATCTTAGTAAAGAAAATGAATTTCCTAGTAAGGATTGAATCTGCCTTTCCCTTTTGTGGGGAAGCCAGTGTGCTTTACCATTTGGCCACAAAGAACATCACAGCAAGCAAGGTTCTATTTTCCCTTTTTCAGGAAAGCATGTCCTCTTCAATCAGATTATTATCTCAAAAGCTTCATATCTGCTCAGTTTCATATCCGAAATGTAAACAAAGTAATTTCTAAAGAATTAATGGATTTAATTTTAGTTTAACATTTTTATTACTTCAAATGTTATTATAGTGTATACTTTGTATTTTAAATAGATGAAATTATTATTTATTAAAAGGAGGATGCAAATTTGATCCTTGCCTGTGGGGTTGGAACTAGACACCTATTTCTCAAATTCACAGGCTTATAAGATGTAATATACACTGTTTAATAAATAAAAATGGCACTTCTTTTTCAAATACAAATACTATATTAACATTTAAAATAATAAAAGTGTCAGATTAAAAATAAATCCATTAATTCTTTACATATATATGTGCGTGTGTGTGTGTGTGAATATAAAAGTGAACATTGAAGTGAACACTTATAGGTGACAGACTGTTTAATGCTAAACGCAATTGTCAGGCCATGAAACAGTCTGTCACCTCTAAGTGTTCACTTCAATGTTCACTTTTATATTTACAGATGCTTTGTCTTTGATATTGAGCACTTTATCCCATAAATATAGCATATATTAAAACTCTATATATATATATAATCTTATAAATATAAGTAAGTATACTTGTCCAGAAAAACCTTAGGTGGCTTGCAAATGAACAAACCAATACCCAAGGAATAAAAAATGAAAGAACTAGGAACATGTAATTTTGGCGAAAATAATCAACCAGAATCCAAGCTCAGAGTCCAAAGAAAAAAAACTCTGACATGAGTAAAATAAAAATAACTAAGTAAAGTGCTCAATACGCTAAGTGGAGCAAATCTAACTATGAACCTAAAGAGTCAGACGAACCTACCTAGGTTTCACCTGCACAGATCGTTAAGGTACACTGGTATGCGTAGGTGAAACCTAGGTAGGTTTGCCTGGCTCTTTAGGTTCATAGTTACACACACATATATATATATATATACATATATATATATACATATATATATATATATATACATATATATATATATATATATATATATATATATATATATACATGAATTATTCACACAAAACTAATGCAAAGGTTAATGATTTAAATGGCGAGACATCCATCATCGCAAACAATTCAAATAGTACACAAAAACCTCCAGATCCGTTATGAATGAATTGATCCTTGTTTATATAAATTTCTGCCGTATTAGTTGTTATTTTTACTACAAGCTTTCGTCTGTTCCTACAGACATCTTCAGGTATATAATAGATGTTGTTCTTGTTTTTTTTCCCTTAGTAATAAGAGGACATCGAAAATATATGTGTTATTGTATCCGAAATGCTATTGAAAATGAGATATTGGTTTTTGAACGCGCTAAAGCAACGCTCAGTTTGAAAAATTTTTTTAAAGTGTTTGCGTTTATACCAAATATGGTAATGAACAAATGTTTTACTGGTAAATTTTTACTGTCAAAGTGGCATGAACTATATTGTTCAATAATTACAGTAATGTCGCACTTATTAACCAAAAAGACGCACATGGATCAGATATTTAAATTACAATAAACGTGCAATCAATTTACAAATACATGAATTATTCATACAAAACTAATGCAAAGGTTAATGATTTAAATGGCGAGACATCCATCATCGCAAACAATTCAAATAGTACACAAAAACTTCCAGATCCGTTATGAATGAATTGATCCTTGTTTATATAAATTTCTGCCGTATTAGTTGTTATTTTTACTACAAGCTTTCGTCTGTTCCTACAGACATCTTCAGATATATAATATATATATGTATATGTATTTCTAATTAATTTGTCTAAACATTATTTTTTAATGAATACTCATATTTCAGTAGATGTTCTGTTTTTATTTATTTATTAAAAAGTAGGTTTATTTACATCTACTGGCCTGAATATTTGAGAAATCTTGTTAGAAGAAAAATAGTCAGTTAAAAAATTTTATAAATGCAGATATGATGTCAATTTAAGTTTATAACAAGTAGCACCTTGTTTCTGAGGATGACCAGAGAATGGTAGCAAACACTAAAATTGATAATAAAGAAAATATTGACAATTTCTGAAAATTTTTGAACCAACTATTCTTTTCCTTGTATAAAAACTAGAGATATTGGAGCAAAAATTAATAAAGAACTCCATGTCCGTCATATTTAGTAATACTTTCATACGCACATACACATATATGGGTCATGCAATGGATAGCAATTTGGAAAGAGAAAGTGGAGATCCTAATTTGAATTCCTATCAAATTCATTACATTCATCTTTGGGAAAGGTATGGATCCATTTTTTACCCCCCCCTCAGCTATAGGTTAAATAGTGGATCACACAAGTTTCTTTAGCCTTGGTTGGAAACCTGTTTAGGAGAAAGACAACTTTGTATTCAAAACCTGAGGAGGTTTTTTTGGAGACTTTGTGGCACTATATATATATATATATATATACATATATAATTATTTATTTAAAAATATGATTCCAAATCGCTACATAAGAGGTCTCATGTTTCAAAACAAGAGGCGAAAACTTCAATATAATCCTTTAAATTAAATTGAGATTAAAATAGGCTCCGTTCCATCTTCAAGCGAAATTTTTTGTTGGAATAAAGGATTATATTGAAGTTTTCAACTCTTGTTTTGAAACATGAGACCTCTTATGTAGCGATTTGGAATCATATTTTAAATAAATAATTATATTTATGCTCTACTTTTGTATCAAGCACTATTTTTTAAAAATAATAACTAAAATACTAAGGGACTTTGGATTTTTTTACCTAACTAGTTCCTTCCTATTTTCTATATATTTTCATATATATATATATATATATATATATATATATATATATATATATATATATATATTAAATTCTCTCTATTCATTTCTTACAAAAAGTGTGGTTGCTTCTGCACAAGCCTTCACCATTATAATAAACTCATATGTGTGAATTGTCTGGCTGATTGGTTTGAAGAACTTAGCTGCAGGACCCTCAGAGAATCAATTACATATATATATTAGGAAAATCTATGACAAAGTGGAAACATTTCTTCCTGTAATTACACATGTGCATGAAAGAGAGGGGACACTGAAATTTCAAACTTAAATCAAAAAACATTTTTTTTTAAATTTCAGCATCCAGTCTCCTTCATACACATATATAATCCCGTCACATAAAAAAAAAATTTACAATTTGTCAAAGATTTCCTAAAATTGTCATGATATATAAAATTTATTTATCATTTTCATATATATATATATATATATATATATATATATATATATATATATATAAATACCAAGTTGTAATTGGTAGGGATTATTCCAAAGAGGGTTTTTATTCCATATGAGAGTTCAATGTATGATACAGACCAAATTTTTATATATTATATATATATATATATATATATATATATATATATACACACACTGATGTATAAATGCATATATATACTTACCAATAATTATGCTTATAATTTCCAAGCCTTGAATCAGGACAGTTTGCAGTTTTTATTATCAGTGTCTATTTTTCTCGTATAATAAAGTGTTTTCATGACCCAGCACCCATTAAGCTTCATGGCCGACAAAATAAAAATGAATACCAATAGAAACACTCTCTATTCACTAAACTCCTGGTAGGTTTTGCAACTTTCAGTCCAGAAGCACCTCCACATAATGAGGTCTTTTGTTAGTATAAGCAGCGAGATTGTATCATCACTGATTTGCGAGGCCTGTCATGTAGGTTACAACATCTGGTATTTCCCAGAGGTCACCCATCTTGAGTACTGACCACGCTCAACATTGTTTAACTTTGGTGATTAGACAAGAACTGGTGCTGAAACTGATATTTCCAGACAAACCAGGATATACACTGAGTTTACAAACAGAGTTTATCTGTGTATTAGATATACTCTATATAGATGTGTATAAGTCAGCTTTGTAGCATTGGTTTCAATTAAGAGGGAATGACTACAAAAACATCTCCTACCTAATTTATAGACAAAACGTACAGATGCATGTTGGGATTTCTTTGCAGCTAAGATAGGCCACTTCTGGGTCTCATCAGATTAGTTCTGTTCTTTCTGATCTTGAAGCCAGAACACTGTGATTGCTTGTCTGTATCCCCTTTTTTGTCTTAACACCATTCTTAGTTTATGAACTTTTTGCCTTATTGCTGTTGAATATATCGTTTTGCTCGCCTAATATTATTTTAGCCCTGTTCTTTTCTTGTTAAACTTTTTCAATTCTGTTTGTTGGCCATTTCTGCCAATTACGTTTAACCATGGCTAACTCTACATACAGTGCAATCCCTGCATTTCCTCATCTTCACATATACTTGTGTATAAGCCAACTTCCTGTATAGTGTGACCATGGAATTTTTTTTAGAAAAAATTTACCTGCGTATAGTGCAACCAGTCACCAAAAATGCTGAATTTTTAACCTCTTTAAAAAAAATTACCTGTGTATAGTGCAACCAGTGACCAAAAATTTTTCAAAAAAAATTACCTGTGTATAGTGCAAGCAGTGACCAAAAATTTTTCAAAAAAAATTACCTGTGTATAGTGCAACCAGTGACCAAAAATTTTTCAAAAAAAATTACCTGTGTATAGTGCAACCAGTGACCAAAAATTTTTCAAAAAAAATTACCTGTGTATAGTGCAACCAGTCACCAAAAATGCTGAATTTTTAACCTCTTCAAAAAAAATTACCTGTGTATAGTGCAACCAGTCACCAAAAATGCTGAATTTTTAACCTCTTCAAAATAATTACCTGTGTATAGTGCAACCAGTGACCAAAAATGCTGAATTTTTAACCTCTTCAAAATAATTACCTGTGTATAGTGCAACCAGTGACCAAAAATGCTGAATTTTTAACCTCTTCAAAATAATTACCTGTGTATAGTGCAACTAGTCACCAAAAATGCTGAATTTTTAACCTCTTCAAAATAATTACCTGTGTATAGTGCAACCACCTATTTTTTGCATAAAAACTGGTCATAACAACTTGCACTCTACTCAAGTATATAGAGTAATTATTTTAAGCTAGGTAATGCAATGTAGCTTTCCTTTAAGATGATTTACTTTTAAGCCAAATAAATCCATACCTTTTCATTGTTGGTTTTTAATGCTTTATCAGTTTCAGCTACATCTTCATTTGCATTTTTTTCCATCATGGTGGTCTTGAGCTCAGCTTCAAAATTTCTTTTCTTCCAAGACAAACTTCTAGGATGAATATTTGGAGTGGAAGTATTTTCACCCATTGGTGAAAAAGCAGATGTGAAAATGTCACAGTCTGAAAAATATTCAGCTGACGGAGTATCCAAATTCACATGAGTCTCTTGTTGCTCATCTGGTTCGATAAATAAAACAGGTGTTTCATTGTGGAGCCTGTTTACTGGAACTTGCAAAGTGTTTGTCTGTAAATTCGACTTGCAAGCAGAAGAGAACAAAGACAAGTGGGCTTTACATGAGTTTGATGATTCCTGAGTGAATGTCTTTGTAGAAGATTCTGATGGATATGTGTTGTGGTGGGTTGAAAAGTTTTTAATTTCAGATGTACAAGATGGATTGAGTTTCTGGTTGCACTTTTCTGATGACAAAATAAGATGAAGAGAATTCTCTGTAGACTTTTGCGATGTATCTTCTTGCATATTTTTATCCTTGCCTTGTTCTTCCAGGGGAGAGTGTGCTGATTGGTCAAAAATTTTGTGTTTGTCGATCTCATGTCCAGATGTCATACATGGCATATCTAAACTAGCCAAAATGGTGTCACTAGTTTCAAGAACATCCAAATTGCCAGAAGAAAGACCTGGAGGTTTCTGCATGGATGAAGAAAAAAAAATATATATGTATAAAATACAACAATTATTGAACTATATTTTTTGATTTTATAATTTTTTTTTTCTTTTAAAGATGAGAAAAGATAGCAAGACAGAAGCCCAGTGATTCTCAATCAGAGGTGGGTCATGCTAAAAGACAGAAAAGAAGAAAACCCCAAAACAATAGCATCTCTTACCTACTTCTTTCTCATCACATTTCACTTACACCAGTGGCTCTCAACTGGGGTTCATGTAACTTTATTGGGGGTCCACACAAAAATAATATCAAATTGGGGGTCCGTGGTAATATTTTAGTGATTCATAGAGCAATTTCACTTTTGAACGGTAGTTACAACTGAGAATTGGAATTTCTACAGTAATCTACGCCATATTAAAATACCAAAAACAGAAAAACAACTCTAAAACTAGCAGAAAACAAGATCAATTGATGTAAGTTTGCATCCCTTTTACTCTGCCAGGTGTTTTGATTGTAAAAGCTGGATAAAAACTGAAAAGGATATATAAAGGAAGGATTATATATATATATATATATATATATATATATATATATATAAATAAAAGAAAACTGAGAAGGATATATGGAGGAAAAATGATATAAAAATTATGATTTTATTATAAAAACTGATTTAATATATTAATAATAAAATTAATTTAATATATACATTAAATGATAAATCCGTGTTCATATTTTACTGGTCCATAGAGCAATTTCACTTCAAAACAGTTGTTACAACTGGGAATTGGAATTTCTACAGTAATCTATGCCATATTAAAATACCAATAATAGAAAAAACAACTCTAAAACTAGCAGAAAATGAAATCAAGTGATGCAATTTAGCATCCCTTTTACTCCACTGGAATGTTTTTGTTGTAAAAGCTGGATAAAAACTGGGAAGAATATATAAAGGAAAGATATATATATATATATATATATATATTTGTAAGGTAATGAAGGGTTTTGTAATCTGTATGGATAATTCCAAAGAGGATGTAATCTAGAGAGCGCAACGTAACACCAGAGCAAATATTAATTAAGAAAGAGACAACTTTAAGGTTCCATGACTATAATTTATTTCTCTAGAAAATATATTTTTCCTGGTTACAAATTAGAAATGTGACCTGATGTACCAGGAAAAATATAATTTCTGGGGAAATGAATTATAGTCATGGAACTTTAAGGTTGTCTCTTTCTTAATTATTTAATGTGTGTGTATGTGTTTATATATATATATATGTATATATAGGAAAACTGAGAAGGATATATGAAGGAAAAATTATATAAAGATTATGATTTATTAAAGAAATTAATTTAATATGTTAAGGAAATTAATTTAATATATACAGTATATAAGGATTATATATGAAAGAAGGATTAACAGTATTAACCTCTTCAGCAGCAGGGGAAATTTCTGGCAAAACCATCCACACTGATATCCTATATATTATTATATCTCGGCTATCTATATATATTATATATATATCATTATAATATATATTATCTATTATATTTATTATTATTATAATATATATTATCTATTATGTATAGGCCATCTTATTATATATGTATTAGTGTACATAAATGTTCCAGAGAATTTAGTTTTAAAATACAAGCTTATTTTCATTAAATTAGTTTTACTTAAAAATAAAGCATACATTTACTATTTCTATTATACAATTCCTGAACTTATCTATCAGTAAAAAATAAAATAAGCATTTTTTATTTTATTGAATGGTTATGGGGGTTTACCAAAAATAAAATTAAGATTAAAAGTGGTCCATGGCTAAAAAAAAGTGAGAACCACTAACTTATACCACCATCCACTCTCCACTGTACAGGGACAATAAATTTCTATATTTTTTTTGTTTAGTATTGTGTTTATCTGTTTTTTGTATTAGATTTACTGATTTTACATTGTTTTCATGTATGAACTTGTGCACGAAAAATACTGCTGTAAAAGTTTAAATAAGCAATCATCTGTGATCTAGCAACAGATTCATCTATTTTATATTGATATGGGGAAAATAGTTTCAGTTTATGAACATTTCAGGTCATGAATTGCCTTCATGAAGGAATTAAATTGTGAAGAGAGTTTCCACTCTATATGGTTCTAAATTTTAATCTTTGAAATAATATTTATTAGATTTAGGTGATGCCAACTTTTGATTTCTTGGCCAGTAGATATTAATTTCACTGTTTAACCTTTACCACGCTAATTTCTAGAGTTGTCTCCCGTGCCACTGCATTTTTTTTAGGGTGCAAAAACATGAACACCTACTGTTTTAAAATTGTTATAACTTTCTTTGTATTATGCGTATAGATTTTAATTTTTGTACACTAATAAAAGAATGAATGAGTAATATTTTGATGTAATGCATTATGTTTTGCATGCATGTTTTGATTGTCTATATCTCTGAGATGAGGTATTATGTACATTATTTACATTATTTGGACTATTGTCCTCATCTTTGTTGCCACACATGACACAGTGGATAAAGGCGTTAGTTAGATCCAGTGACAGGACCCAAAGAGTGTGAGTTCAATACCCGGCTAAGGCAGTGGAGGACTTTCAAAGGGAAATTAAAAAGAGATCACTGATAACTGACATTCATTAAACATGGCACGTGGAACTAGAACAGTCTACCCCAGTGAGCGAAATAAAGGGTTCAGTTCGACATTCCAACCACGTGAAGAAGGCCGGAGTGTACAACAGTTGAAACGTAATAAATATGGTGACAAAGATGAGGATAATAGTCCAAATAATGTAAATAATGTGTATATTTTGATGTTAAAAACAAAAAATTGAAACAATAACTAAAATAAAAAAACAAATACATTAAAAAATACATAAATAATTTAACTTACTTTAACTTTTATTGAAGTGGAGTTCTTGGGTGAAAAATCAGGTAAAAATAAGAAGCAAAATTGCTAAGAAGGCTTTTATTCCATCAAAAAAGTCATGTGTTTCATTGTGTTTAGAATTCAAAATGGTGTTAGAAGTTTAGCTTTGTTACAAAGCAGTAGTAGGTGATTTCCAGCTTAAAATACTGGAAATAACAGGTGACAAGTGTTTCTTTATAGCAACCATCTCAAGGTGACAGAATGTGCCTAAAGTAGCAAAGGGAGAGAATTCTATGGCGACTCTTGTCACTTGCTGTGTGGTAAAGGTTAAAAAAAAAAAACAGGTATATCTACTTGGATGATACATATTGTCTTAATAAAGTTCTGATAAAGAGAAAATTATGAAACTCAGAGTCAACATTGATCAGTGTTGAAATTTAATCTGAGTCATTAATTATTGCTCTTGTCCAATATCAAGCATTTTATTGGAAGGCATTCGGTTCACCTTCATATACATTGAATTATATAATTTTATGTAATATTAATAGCGAGCATTATTACTTTATTATATTTATCTTAAGTGATGGATTTTTATTTTATGTATTTTCATCTACTGGGCTGAGTATTTGAGAAGTAATTAAGGAAAAATATGCATTCTCCAGCAGGATTTGAACCTGCATCCCTCTTGGTAGGGGAAACCATTGTTAGACCTCAGTGCTTCAAAGATCAAGCAAAGTTGAATAGTGCCTTATAAATAAGTGGATCAATTTATTTAACTTGTGTCCTTTTTGGTCCTATTTTTTATGAATGGATCAGTTTATTTAAGTAGAGTACTTTTCATTCCTAATTTTACAAGTAGACAGATAAATAGATAGACAGTTATGAATAAAATGAATTAGATATGAAGAGAATAAGGTTAGATATTAACAAACTGAGACAGAAAGATAGACATGAACAGACCAAGACAGATATAAATAGACTGAGATGGATAGAGATTATTATTACATTATTTGAATTGCCATATTTACAATGTTTCAGCCTTCTTCACCGAGGTAGATTATAGTTCCACATGCCATGCCTCTTCCAGATATCTCAGTTATTTCCCTTTAACTCAAGTCTTTAAGTTTTGGTATTGAACTCACAACTCTTTGGGTCTAGTCACTGGATATAACCAATGCCTTTATCCACTGGGCCATATGTCCTTGAGGATATCTGTGTATGAATTTCTGGGACTCTAATGTCTCAGCAACCATTTTTACCAAGTATCATATTATAATTTTGCTGTTATTATTATTATCATTATATTTTTTTTACTAGAGTTTATGTTGCAATTTTTTGTTGTTATTTATTGCTTTTCTCTAGCACTCCTTATTATTGGGTCTAGTTCAAAATTCCAATCACCTGAAAAAAAGCCGGAGCGCACAACAGCCGAAACGTTGTGAATATGGCAATGAAGAGGAGGATAACAGTCCAAATAATGTAAGTAATCATAATACATCATCTCAGAGATATAGACAGAGACTGAGATAGATATGAACAGACTGAGGTAGATATGAAGATCTTGTTGTTTCAAATATGAGGATTTTTCAGCTGAGTGAAAATTTCTGAAAACATGTACTTGTATCTGATATGATTCCCCCTTTTTTTGACTTTAAGTTTCATTCAAAATTTGCAGGAAGGAGGACTTATTCGATGCCTATACTTTATCAATCATAATGCAATATAGATTTTTAGCATTTGCAATGAGATATAATTACTTCCAATTATCTGTAGTTAATAAGTTAAAAAGAAAAATATAGTTTTGGTTTACATCCACAAATATTTTTTCAATTTTAAAGAACTAGCAAAAATCTTACCCCAGAGCTGTTCTTGAGATCTTCAAATTCCTTCCATTTTTGTTTGCCAAAGGAATTTGCAAACCATGACTGGCAGAATACTGCAGACACTTTGGTTGGTGTTACCTGTTTGGAAGAAGAGCAGTATGTCCTGGGGGGACTTTCTGGCAGGGAGGAAACCAACCGTGGCCGGCTGTTGGAAGAGCCATTGATTTCGTAGTCTGAAGATGAACGTTTTCGTACTCGGGTTTTTCGATTAGGACCAGGATCAATTTCATCTGTGCTCATAGCACCCAGGTTTGAAACTGAAAAGAATAATAAAAAAAAAAAATAACAAATATTATTCTTACTGACCGCAATATACAATAGTGGACTAGACATGTAGTTATTAAGTGATATTTTTATTTGAAATTTTCTTTCATAATGTTCGATCTATCACTTGAGGACATTCAACAGCCGCAAAAAATGAAATGATACGTCACTATCACTGCCATAATGGCTCTCAGCCAAGTGTTTTTTCATGTTGGGGAACTGATGATGGTCAACTCAGGAGAATAGGGAGAGTGATCAACCAGTTCAAAGCCACAGTCACACACAGCAGCCATTGAAATCAAGAACTTGTGCGCTTGAGTATTGCCATGATGAAACATGACATCTTCCATCAGTTTTCCTAGACATTTGGTTTTGATAGACTTTCATAACTTCCTCAGCAAGTTAGCATTGTACTCTCCATTGATAGTATGAACCCTTTTGAAGATAGTCAATATACACAACACCTTTTGCATCCTAAAAATTTGAGACCACCAACTTTCATGCAGACGAAACAACCTTGGCCATCTTTGGAGCAGGTGAGGAGGGATGTTTCTACAGCATGAATTGCTCTTTTCTTATCAGAATGATCTGAGTGAGTTTTGCAAGCTGCTGTACCTTTATAAGTACAGTGTAACCCGGATATAAGAGAGTTGTCGGGGCCGGAGAAAAAGTCTCTTATATCCGGATTTCTCTTATATCCGGGTTTGGTCTATTTTGTTTAGGTAAGTATGGGCTCTAATTTGGGACCAGAGAAAATTTCTCTTATATCCGGGTCTCTTATATCAGGGTTACACTGTATATCACATTCTGATAATAGATCAACCAGGAATGGTGAAATGTTGTAATGAGCCAGGGCACAAATTTACTGTAGATGTATGCATGTATGTATGTATGTATGTAGATACCTAAAGAAAGCTACACATAAGGTTTAACATGAACTTTTAAAAATGAAAAATCTTTCTTGAAGCTTTTATTTTAGTTTTAATTGCAAGTTAATGGATTATATTTAATACAGTGTAACCTGGATGTAAGAGAGTTGTCGGGACCGGAGAAGAAGTCTCTTATATCCGGGTTTGGTCTATTTTGTTTAGGTAAGTATGGGAACACTTTGGGACCAGATAAAATCTCTCTTATATCCGGGTCTCTTATATCCGGGTTACACTGTACCATTAAACTCATCTTACTCTTTCCAAAGCCTCTGCACTGTCCTCAGATTGATACCTAAACATTCTGAAATGTTTGTATTGGAACTTGCGGTGCAAATGACAAACAGTACAGCATGCATTTCCAAATTTTTGGCAGAGTGAATTGCATCATAGTGCTCTTTTTCTTACAGTCTGTGCCCAACTGACCCTACTATACAGTCAACAAAATCAAAAACAAACAACGCATCTGTGAGAAAAGGTTCTGGTTCACTATGTCTGCCACAAAACTCTTCCTACCTTGTACTGGACCAGTTTATATATATATATATATATATATATATATATATATATATATATATATTGGCTCCTGAAAAAATTAATTTCAGTTGAGCTCTCTGGGGAGGAGATGGGTTGGTAAACAGTGACTATTATAGCTATATAACGAGACTCTTTGCTAATGCTAATTGAGTCACTGGGCGTGTTTATAAAGATAAACACGCTTAAAAATCCACTTTCCTCCCTACCGTATACCGATGGCTTAATGGTTAGAATCTCTGACTGACACCAGTTCAGTCGGGTTTCACCCTAGCTGGAGGCAACCGGATGTCTAGCCACACTGATGAGCTGTGAAACAGCTAAACAGTCTGTCTGTGGATGACGGTATATATATATATATATATATATATATATATATATATATATATATATATATATATACAAATTAAAAAAAATTTTAATTGAATTAATTAATGCAAAAAAAAAGAAAAAAGTGAAAATATTTGTAATATAAACATAACTTTTTCAAATGCGCAAAAACTTTCGTGTGTTTTGATCAGAAAATAAATGTTTTTTTAATTTGATTAACTGACTTTTGTATAAAAATTCACTTTTATGCAGTTTGTTTACCTTTGGAAATTTTTTATTTTTGAGAAAAATTACGTTTTAGGGTAGGATTGAATGGAATGGATATAAAATGGAGGTTCAGTTTGCAATATAGAGCAAAACAGGACCCACATTGTGCACCCAGAATTATGAACGTCGAGGTTCAATTGAAAATGCGAATTAATGTGTAGTGTAACTGACTCACGGGAAGTAGTATGCCCTCAACTACCTCATGTGTAATAGCTGTAGCTATTTATAGTCTTTGTGACTTCATATGTAAATGAGTCATCACATCTCCCTGTACTGAAGAGATCTTATACACTTATTTTCCCTGGTACTTCTTCTGGAAGCTTTTGTCACCTCACTATCTTCCTTTCTCTCCCTAAGAGATTGTCTAGATATGGGAGATTGTGATCTTTTTCTTTTTTTGTAGGAGTGTTCCTTCAATGATTGTTCATCTTCAGAATCTATGTCACTTTCAATTTTCACTCTCCTGTTTGTCTTGCCTTGACATGACACTTTCACCTTATTTTCAGGCTCACAATACATTTCTTCATTGCTATTATGTTGCAGTCTAACTTGGTCTACATGCACTGATATCCCATTTCCATTTTCCTCTATTATCATAGTGTTCTGTCCACTTTGCCTTATAAATCTTGCCTCTTGTAGATTAGATTCACTATTCTTTTTATACAACAGCTTATTGTTGGTGGGATAGGATAATGTCAATGGGGCTCTAATATGTTTACCCATGAGGGTGGATGGGCTTTCCAACCTTCCAGCATGTGGTATTGTTTACTCATGAGGGTGGATGGGCTTTCCAATCTTCCAGTGTAGTATCACTCCGATCATGCTGTAGTATCTGTTAACATCTCCTTCAACTCCACTCTGATCATGCTTAGTATCTGTTAACATCTTCAACTCCACTCCCTGCAAAGAACCTCCTACCACTAGAACTTCTTTCTACTATCAACGAGCTGACTGGGGCTCTTTCCGTGATTTCCTCCGCGATGTCCCCTGGGATGTTGTCTTTATGCTCCCCATCCAAGAATGTGCTTCTGAGGTCTCATCCTGGGTTAAAGCTGGAATCGACGCTTTCATCCCCTCAATGAAATATAGGGTCAAGTTGCGCTCCTCCCCTTTGTTCTCTGCTGCTTGCTCAGCCGTCATTGCCCATAAGAACCACTTCTTTCACCTATTTCGTAGTGACATGTCAGACTACAATAGGCATATCTTTGCCTCCGCCCGTAATGAGTGTAAGCGTGTCCTCAACAATGCTAAGTCACTATTTGCTGCTTGGTTGAAGGAGCGTATTGCATCTTGAAAATTTGGCTCCAAAGATTATTGGCATCTCTGCAAGAGTGTACTGAACAATTGCAAACCCTCTATACCTCCTTTGTTCAACCAGTTCGAAGTCCTGATCTCCTCTGCCGACAAGGCTGAATGCTTTGCTCGGAAATTTTCATTCAACTCAACGCTCGACTCTTTTGGTGTACCCATACCCAACTTCCCTCTGAGAACTGAGGCCCTATTGAGTGGGTTACACATAACCCTGTCTTTGGTATTGGGCATTATCTCCAATTTAGACCTCAACAAGGCTAGTGGTGGGGATGGGATACCAGCCATTGTTTTGAAGAAATGTGCGCCTGAATTGGCGCCCGCCCTCTCTAAACTATATAACTACTGCCTCAAGGAATCTTGTTTTCCTGACTGCTGGAAGTCCTCTTTGATTGTTCCTGTCTGCAAGAACTCTGGCAACCCCTCTGACCCTTCTAATTAGCATCCTATCAGTCTCCTACCCCACTTCGGCAAAGTCTTCGAAGCCCTAATCAATACCGAAGTGGTTAACCACCTTACATCCCATGATCTGCTCTCAGACAAGCAATATGGCTTCCACTTTGCCCAATCTACAGCTGATATGCTTATGGCCATCACTGAAACTGTCTACCAAGCTCTTCAAAATAACGGGGAAGCTCATGCCGTGGCCTTAGACATCTCCAAAGCATTTGATAGGGTTTGGCATGCCGGCCTACTTTGCAAGCTCCAGGGTTATGGCATTATGGATCGATTGTTTGACCTAATACAATCATTCCTGTCAAACTGTGAATTGAAGGTCGTTCTCAATGGATTCTCCTCCAGTTCCTATCCTATGAATGCGGGTGTTCCTCAAGGCTCCATCCTAGGTCCCACTCTATTCCTTATCTACATAAATGACCTTCCTGTCCCATAAATTCCCAAGTTGGCATCTACACAGATGATACCACAATTTATTCCTGCCTCAAAAACAAATCTAGTGTCACTGACAAAACTAAATGTGCTGTGTGTCTCGAAAATAACCTCCAATCAGTTGTGAACTGGGGCAGGAATTGGCTGGTCAACTTTAATGCCTCGAAAACAAAACTGCTCTCTACTAATCACCACAGAGAACCTTCCCTGACCTCCATCAGAATGTCTAATGCTCAACTTCTCGAGAGCAACTCTCTGCGGCTGCTCGGTCTCACGTTGACGGCTGACCTGAGATGGAACAAATACATTGAGTCAATTGCTTCGTCCACCACAAGGAAAGTTGGCTCCCTGTGCCGCGCCAGGAAATTTTTCTCCTCAGAATCGATCCTTCAGATCTACAAATCAACAATTCTCCCTTGCATGGAGTATTGCTTCCATATATGGTCTGGAGCCCCTTCTGTTTGATTTGGGGTTCTTGATAAGCTCCAGAGGCAGATATGCAATATAATTGGCTCTGTTCTGGCATTTCATCTACAGTCGCTCTCTCACAGATGCGTCATCGCCTCTCTCTGTCTTTTTTACAAATACTTTCATGGTAATTGCTCAGAGGAGCTGCATTCGCTGGTTCTCAGACTTCATGAATTCAAGCACCCTACGAGGCTGGCATCTCACTCTCACCCTTTCACTGTCAAAACTACTAAATGTAGCCATCTCTTCTACTCCAATAGCTTCATGTCTTGCACCTCTCGCCTGTGGAACTCCCTTCCCCATTCCAGTTTCCCTGAGAGCTATAATTCAAATGTAATGTCAATCAACATCTCCAGTTGCCTTGATCTATTCACTATCCTTCTCCTCATCCTTTCCTCTATCACTCCTATCTGATCTTGCTCCAAATCTTCTGTAACCCCTTGTGTCCTAGTGGCTTCCTGCCTTGCTTGGGGTGAAACGCTTAAAGAAAAAAAAAAAAAAAAAAGATGAAATGTGGTATTGTTTACCCATGAGGTAAACAATACTACATTTCCAATCTTCCAGCATGTGGTATTGTCCTATAGCTTAGCAACAATATAAGAAGAAATGCTTCTATCTTTTCTTTCTATTGGACACATATTTTCGATCTGTTTTTATAGTTTGCAACATCCTTTTTTCTAATTCGTTTGATTGTGGATGGTATGGTGAGGTTTTATATGCTTTGTATCCAATTTTGTTCAACCACTGTCATAGTTTCTCATCACAGAACTCAGAGGCATTGTCAGATACTAGTGTTTTCGGAATTTAATTTCTTGAAAATATGATCCTTAAACACTTGTTTCATGGTTGAGCTTCTTTTGTTGGAAACCAATATTACTTCTAGTCAGCCTGAATACAAATCTACCTGTATTAGTAATAATTCCACTCCATTAACACTGGCATGACCCATGTGTATTCTGTCCCAAAGTTGGTACTCTTTAGGCCATGTATGTGTTTTTGTCTGTTTGAATTTTCTTCTTTTATTATGTATTCTGTTTCATCTATAGAATAGCTTGGCCACCATGCTTCTAACCTTAATTTTCTTTGTGTAGACGTTATTTTGCAATCAACATTGTCGTGTGTGTGTGTTTTTTTTTATAATTTTGCTCCTTTGCGTTGTTGGCAGAACCACTATGTCTCCATTACAAATTAAACCCTTTTCTACAAATGTGTTTAATGCCTTTCTGCCTATGAGCAATTTTTATTTTTTTTTATCTCGAACTGTTTGATATGGGATCTCGCTTCATATGAGTCTGCACATATTTTGTGGTTTACACCACAAATGTGCAGATCCCCATCCTTCTTTCTTAAAATAACTAACGGGGAGGTCCATTTACTCCCTTCTGGTGGAACTTGTTTAAGTAGATCTTGTTCCAGTAATTTTTTTTAGTTTTTCCACAACTATTGGTAGTAAATGGACTGACACCTTTTGTGTTTGAAAATATGAGGGGGGTGCAAGACATTTTCCTTTAGTCTTAATTATGCTTCATAGCTTTTTAACATTCCAGTTTCTTCTACCGTCACTTTGTTTACTAATTTGGTTGAATTTATGTTCAATATGTCATTTCCTATTAGAACATGATTCTTTTCACAGTTTGCCATGATAATTGGTAATACATCAAACTTATTTTTTTAGTTCCATGTTGGCTTCAAAATAGCTTAACATTTTTATCATAGATCTGTTGAACTGATTCAGTAAGACAAGGCTTTTGTTTAATCTTGGTTTTCCAATTTTCTTCCAGAAATTTCTGAGTATCAATATCATGTCACTTCTCATATCTAGTCACGTGTCCAATAAAACATTACTGATTCAAATTCTTAAAACACTTTTTCATTTTTTTCAATGAAAAGACATCCATATTTATTTCCTCTTCATTTTGTTTGACCATCTTTACATTTTACTTTTTGGATTTACATACACATTTTGAAACACTTTTCACATTTTCTTTTAATCTACCAGACATTTTTGTTTTTCTCTTTGATGCTGATTCCACAAAAAGTATTACTATTTTGTCTTTTCTCTTTATCGCTTATGTGTTAATTTCCTCTACTGGATCCATAACCTTTGTTCTATTAAATTTGCAAAATCTTGTTGAATAAATTTGACACACTGTTCCAGTGACAACTTTGCAAGTTGTAAATGCATTAGAATCATCTGATGATACTCCTCACTTTGAAAGCCGTTTACCAATTTCATTTGGATCAAATTCGCTTTGATTGATTGGTTTTCCATTCCCAGTTTCTCACATTCATAATAGTGGCCTGTTTTACATGAACATATTCTATAACTGGCTTATTCTTTTGAGAAATATTCATAAACTGAATTCTGTCAGTTAGTTTTTTCTTGGGTGCTATGTTTTTCACTATCAGTTAACTTATATTGCCAAATGTCATTTCCACCAACTGTCTTGCTTGAGTGTGCAATTGCTAATAATTTAATAATGGCATCAAAACCAACAGTTGCTCAGAAGAGATCAGTTATTTGGTTTTCTCCTGCAACTGATTTAAAATCCTTCAGCTTTTTTGTTCTAACTTTAGCTGCTAAAATAACTTCTTAAGTCACGCTTCTATGTATTCATAATTATTTAGTGATAATTGTTCGTTTAGTTCTTTAGATATCAGTTACACCAGTGTAGTGTTACTGACTTACTGGAAGTAGTATGCACTTAGTTGCCTCATGGGTAGTAGTTATACCTATTTAGAGTTTTTGTGACTTCATATGTAATCTTTTATCTTGTCGCAAATTAGGATTGTGAAAGAAATGAAAAAAAATTAAATTGCAACGAAAACAAAAACAATAGCATTATTAAACAATAAAAAAAAATGGAAACCATACAACTGGAATAATAAAATAGGTATCCATTTCGAATTTGAGACAGTTAAAAAAAAATGAAACAATGGGACAGGATTAGAATACACTTTCAAGGCTATACACCAAAAAAATCAAGGTGGAGTTTTTTACATTCAATCCACACTTTGATTAAAAAAACTGACATTGGCAGTCAAATTATTTTTCTCAAAAAAGTTTCTGAAAAGAAAAGGATGTTATATCTGAATTAAAAGCGAAAGAAACACTAACGAAAAACAAATAAAAATGAATTGAATAAAATACAGAGCGCATATGATCGAAAAATGCATCTAATTTTAAATTATTGATAATCATTAATCAATTTTTTTAAAAACTCTTCTGATCTTGTTTGCAGCATCACAAGCATAAAAATAAAATAAAAAGCCTGTGACTTTCAATTCAACAATACATTCTCTATTTTGACAAAACAAGAGACAGAGATAATTTGAAATTCTCACTTACACGCCTCAGAATGTAAAACAATAAATCGTAATTAGTGATCAACAGAAAAGGCACTCTTGCCTAGACGGCACAAAAGTATAAACAAATAATTAAAACCATTGAACATTCAATATTCGGAACCACGCTCCTCAGCGTGTTACTTTTGACAAAAACAAAAACAAGCGGTGACGACTCAAGGGAAATAATTTAGTTTGCTTACTTACAGGCGGTGTTTGCTAATTTTTAAACACTTGCTTATTTTATTCCACTTTATTTCTATTGGAATAAAAATGATAAAGAACAAAGCAAAATAATAAGAGAGAATTCAAATAAAGTAAAAGTAAATATTGATAAAATAAAAAAAATTCAAATTAACTGAAACGAATAAATCAGTTCTTAAAATATTTTAATAAAATACAATGTAATTCTTTGATTATACATTTTATTTGAATTGTTACTGTGGAAAAATGAAATAAAATCGATCAATAAAATAATAATAATAATAATGAATAATAAAAAAAGAAAAAAGAACTACATTTTCCCTGATTCTCGCAGTAAAGGAACCGGAAATACGATTATCGAACTTGGCTTCGTCAAACGCTACTAAAAGGCGCTGGTTTATAAAGTCTATAAAAAGGCGAACATTTCCTTCCTCTCTTTCTTTTACCCCTTGCTCCAAGATGTAGTACTACCTGGTAATTTACAATAGTTTCCCCGATCTGCTGAAAACTGAACTCTCTTTTCAATTTCTAACGTATAGCATTCGCACGCGTCTTCCAAAACATCTGCTTATGAAATAAATCAACCTTTTCTTATGTCGTTCCAAACTCAGCACAAGGCTGACTTGAGTTCGGCCATTATAACCATGCCGACACTCCACTGATGAAATAAAACAAGTTATTCTTTGGTCGTCCCAACTCTGCGCACGGCTGACTTGAGCGCGACTATTATAACGATGCTTATCGTTACTTATCCTAACTTCGGGATGAAGGAAATGAAAACGGCCATACAAAAACAATGTTTAAATCTTCCAACGATAAAGTAAGTACAAACTTTTCTTTAGTTGTTCCAACTCTGACTTCAGTGCGACAGTTAATATGATGATTATATTTACTTATACTAACTTCAGAACCAAAAGAAAACGGGCATACCCAAGAAACACTGAGAACTTTGTTTCACTACAACTTGTTATGTCTCTTACACTCTTCTATATAAAGTGGATGTTGACTGCTTGACTACCCAAAACAGAATGCGAAAATGCGTCTCTGCGCATCATGACTCGACGCATGTTTTCAGTATTAAACGAAATAAAATGAACTATATATATTGGCCAGTAAAAATTACTCCCGATAAAAGACCCAAACTGTGATTTGGAGCCGATACGACTGATATAAATTCCCCGATTCGACGCCGCAAGGGGGAAAGACCCGGCTGAGATATCGACACGCAGAGGCTGACCGAAAACGCAACAGGCACACTGAATGCGATGCTATCTTCAAGTTTCAACTTTCAACCCGATGCCGCCATCTTCACAGAACATCAACCGATAGCCACCAACATGCTTTCCCCTTTACTTTTTCTTTCTTTCTTCCTCTCCCACTCTGTTGCCTTTACAACAACAACTGGTAGTAGTTTAATGGCTTTGTATATATGTAAATAAATTATTCATTCATTTACCCAAAATCCGATTTATTCCTTTTCCTTGAATTCACGTTTGCTGAGGCAAAGAAGAAATTAACCTCTACAGCAGTAACAACAACAGCGACAAGTTCCGTCTTCCAGGTTACCCATTCTTTGCTTCCGCAACAAGTGGTAACACCAATGTTTCGAGCGATAGCAATTTCTTCAGAAAATGCGTGGAAACTGTAGCAACATAATGAGTTCACACGAAGATACTTCGGAATCGCCTTTGGAGATTAATTCTTCAGTCCTCCACCTACCACCATACAATGCCACCAACACAAAGAATTGGTTCCTCCAACTCCAGGCCATTTTCGCTGACAGAGGATCACAGAAAATAAAATTTGCCAGTGTTGTCCAAGTCTTGCCACCTGACATTGTCGACGAAATTGCTGACACCGACCTTTACAACGTCCTTAAAGTAGCTATCATTAAAAGGACAGGTCGCTCAGACGAACAAATGTTGAGGTAACTATTTAACAATAGAACACTCTCAGAACTCCCCAGGCACATGAAAAGTCACCTCAGAGGGAATGATATGTCGGAGTCTATCCTGTGTCGTCTATGGTTGGACAAATTGCCAACCACTATGGTACAAATAATAACGCCCATGACAGATGATACAGCACTGGAAAAATTGGCAGATATTGCCGACAAAATTTTTGTCTCGTTCCATCAAAGACTTAACGCACTGATTTACAAACAAGAAAAATACTGAAGTGCTAAACATACGCATATCGATAAGGCACTCGCAGATTTGCAAAAGCAAATGCAACAAATGCAACTGATTCTAAACCAACAACAACGGAAGTACAAGTACCTCACGTGGACGCAATCCTACCCCACGCCGAAGAAGTCTTAGTCGCGGACGAACGAACACTCTCCCAGTGAAATTTTCTGGTATCACCACACGTTTGATAACGATGCAAGGAAATGCACCCAACTTTTCCGTCATAATACCAACAGACATCAAAGAAACGAGCAAACCGGCGGTGAACGCGACAACCCTGGCCGGTACACACAAAGAAAGTCGCTTATTTTATGTAGTCGACCAAAATAACGGCTACAAATTCCTAGTGGATACTGGAGCAGCAGTCAGTGTCATTCCATTAACACCTGAACGCAAACCCAATCCTAGTCTCCTCAGACGACTAGCTGCAGTTGTACGCGCATCGATACCTACGGCATCAAAGATCTAACGTTAAACATTGGCATGCGCCGAGATTTTACGTGTATCTTTCTACAATCTGACGTGCAAACACCCATTCTTGGATCGGTTGTTTTGGCCCATTTCAACTTGTCAGTGAACATGAGACACAAATTCCTTTTGGACACCGAAACCAATATCCGTATTACAGGAATCCGCACACAATATAATTCTACTGGCATAGTAAAGAATCCCTTGATATCTTGGACAAATTTAAGGAAATTACAACACCATTCAAAAATACGGATAACATCAAGCATGACACAAAACACAGATTAAAGACTACTAGACAGCCAGTATTTATTTTCACGTCCACGACGGCTACATCCGCACAAATATCAATTTGCCAAAAACGAATTCGACAAAATGCTACGGGAAAGGATAATTCGTCCATCTGAAAGCCTTTATACATCACCCCTACATCTCGTTCCAACAGCGGATAATAAAGGATTCCGACCTTGTGTGGACTTCCGTAATTTAAATGCATCTACGGTCCCTGATCGTTATCCTGTCCCGCATATACACGATTTCGCTCTCGGGTTACGCGGATCACGTATATTCTCCAAGATCGATCGAGCGAAAGCTTATTTTCAGATCCGGGTAGCGGAAGAAGAAATTCCTAAAACGGCGGTGACAACTTCGTTCGGGCTATATGAGTTTGTCTAAATGTCATTTGGTCTTTGGAATACTGCCCAAACATTTCAAAGACTAATTGCGAGGATTACCATTTGTATACGCTTACATTGATGATATCCTCATTGCTAGCCAAAGTACTGCCGAACACAAAGACCACTTACACCAATTTGGCCTAGAAAATAAACTTAGATAAGTGCACTTTCGGCACCACTCAAGTTAAATTTCTTGGGCACACGATAGACCAACATCGGATTTCAGCCTTACACGGAAAAGTGGAAGCAAATGAAAATTTTCTTGTACCTACTTCCATCCGACACTTAAGAAGATTCATCGGACTGATAAATTATTATCGCCACTTCACTCCTAATCTGTCAACTATACTTCTTCCTTTGACTAACCTGTTAGAAGAAAAAAAAAACAAGAACATTACTCTATAACAGGATACACTTTATGCCTTCAATACAGCCAAATCAGCACTTACTAACTTTACTAAACTCTCACATATCAGTAACGACGAAAGTGCACTCATCTTCCTCACTACGGTCGCATCCAACACGGCAATAGAAACTGTAATTGAACAGGAAATCGATTCGGTAAGAAAACCTATTTCATTCTTCTCAGCAAAATTAACCAAGACACAAACAAATTATTGCACCTTTTCTAGAGAATTGTTGGCTGTATATTTATCAATTAAACAGTCTAGACGAATACTTGAAGGTAGAAACTTTGCGACATACATAGATCACATTGTGGCTGATGCATTGTCACGCACAAATATAACAGCGATTACCGGCGATACATTAAGTCATGAATTAATTTCTGATGAACAGAAATCTGACTCTACTCTTACAGAAGTATTATCAAATACCTACTTAACATTGAAACAATTTCCAGTTCCTTTCGGTAATAAAACATTTTGCAGCATCCCGCTACCACTTCCTTATCAATGTATAATTTTGTACATTTTTGTGCAAAAAAATGGATCAGAGAGCCTGCTTGGCTTAGTAAATATTTTCAGTAGATATCAGCTTCTAATTGGTCAATAAACACACAAGTGGGCGTTGCAATCCACCCACGTACAAATATCTTTCCAGAGCGTGACTAAGTCATGTTTCCCGCCATTTGCTGTGATCCTGTCACGTGATTACATTATCTATAGATAGCAGACACTTGTTCGCTCATTCTCTTTTACTCTTCCAAATTCCTGCGAAGATGTGACCATAAGGATTCTCGTCTAGACCATGGGCGATCAGACGTTAAAAACATATTCACACATGCACGTACGTACGAACTTTTCCAACCTACATTACATACATGCAGAACATTTCCAAACATGCAACAAGAACTTTTCTCTATGAAATATTCTTCTAAAACCACAGTTTACTCAGTATTTCTCAGCTTCATAATTAATTTAACTTTTGTGAGTTCAGATAAAAATATCCCCAGTCTAAGAGATATAACTCCATTAGATCTTTAACTTCTACGCATGTACATCAATCAATATACACAAATAAATACAAATGTTATGTTTTAAAACCATTTTGTTCCTTCTTGTATTTCATGCTTTGTGGTATTTTACGTTTAATATAAATTGTGTGGTCATGTTATTCACGCAGCCGTAAACAAACATCTACAATTGTCCATTCTTATTACCAGACCACTACAACTTTATTGTGACACTACATTAACCAACCCTAGACCGTGCATCCTACCCACACTGAGGAAACAAATATTCCAATACCTTCACAATCTTTTACACTCAAAGCAAGCGATCCACTGTAAAAATTATAATCGAACGTTTTGTTTGGCCAAACATGGCATCAGACATTAGAAATTGAGCATCAACATGCTTAAAATGCCAGAACAACAAAATACATCGTCATACCAAAACACCAATAGGTACTTTCAGCAACCCTGATGCAAGATTTAAACATATCCACTTAGGCATCGTGGGTCCCCTATCGAGCTGTCAAGGTTTATTCCTATATACTAACTATTGTTGACGGATTTTCACGTTGTCCTACTGCGATTGCACTGAAAGACACAACAACTTCAGTCACAAACGCTGTTTTAAAAGACTGGATTTCTATTTTAGGAGTACCCAATGTTATCACCACTGATCGTAGCACACAATTCCGATCATCACTTTTTCAGGAATTCAGCAACTTGCTAGGAGCAAAGCACATTAAGACCACAGCATACCACCCATGTACTAATTGATTAGTGGAAAGATTCCACAGGCAACTCAATATCCTTGTCGTGTCTCTAACACTCTTCTATATAAATCGGATGTTGACTGCTTGACGACCCAAAGCAGAATGCGAAAACGCGTCTCTGCGCATCATGCCTCGACGCATGTTTTCGGTATTAAACGAAATAAAATGAACTATATATTGGCCAGTAAAAATGACTCCCGATAAAAGACCCAAACTGTGATTTGGAGCCGATACGACTGATATAAATTCCCCGATTGGATGCTGCAAAGGTCAGAGACCCGGCTGAGATATCGACACGCAGAGGCTGACCGAGAACGCAACAGGCACACTGAATGCGATGCTATCTTCAAGTTTCAACTTTCAACCCGATGCCGCCGTCTTCACAGAACATCAACCGATAGCCCCCAACATGCTTTCCCCTTCTCTTTATCTTTCTTTCTTCCTCTCCCACTCTGTTGCATTTTCAACAGCAACGGCTAGTAGTTCAATGGCTTTGTATATATGTAAATAAATTATACATTCATTTACTCAAAATCCGATGTATTCATTTTCTCTGGTTTCACGTTTGAGGCGAAGAAGAAATTAACCTCTACAGCAGTAACAACAACAGCGACAAGTTCTGTCTTCCAGTTTACCCATTCTTCACTACCGCAACAAACTTCATTCATTTATATATATATATATATATATATATATATATATATATATATATATATATATATATATATATATTTTTGAATAAAAGACAGACCGCGTTAAGATTCCATGTAATAAGTTATTTCACCATAACCCCTTTTACAGGGTTCTGGATCATCAGACTTTACTTCCAAAAAGCTGAAATGAAGAATGAAAAGAAATTCACACGTTTTTTACGGACCTCATCAAGTATACGCAAAGTTAACGAAGTGAGGAAGTGAGGTGGGAGAGAGGATATGAGTGTGTCATATGTATCATTTTAGTTTCTTATTTTAACCCCACTGTGTCGGTTGGATGTTGCTCAAATCTAACGCGTCTCGTCTCTAGATAAAGGTGGTTAAGGGGTGAGCGATAAGGAAGACGTTACAACAACCCCAATAAATTACACGACAGGTTTCATTCAAATTCTTAGACGCTGTCAGTTCGCGTTATTTAACGTACATATTTGGAAGGTTAAGGTTTGATAAATATCTAGATTTTTAAAACAATCTACGAAGAAATTAATTTGAAATTCGGTGGAGTTTTGGGTATTTTCTATGAAGCAGTCGATTGGAAAAATCCATAGACAGAACATTGAGAAAGTAATCCAATTTATATTTAGTACTTTTTCCACTAAAACTTTTATCTTATAGCTTGTTAGGTTGACATTTCTTCGTTTGATTTTTGTTCATTAAGTAAACTCGTGATTGTTTTTGATTTTTGTTCATTAAGTAACCTCGTGGTTGTTTTTATGTATCCAATTATCAACAGTTATTCCCATTTAAATAATTTTATTTTTATTTTCCACATTGGGGTAGTATCTTTCAATCTCAATTAAAATACTAATCTTAAACTTTCCCTTCGTGCTATTTAGAATTCACTTCCAATTGGAGAATATTACAGGAGAAATTTGGAAGAGATGTCACTAGCAGAAAATTAGGCCCTTCTTTTACATTTTCTTATCTACACCTGCCTTAAACCCCTATTTGTAACCACATACCTATATCGTCTTATATGCCTATGAGTTCCTATATACACCTACACACACATTCACACGGAACGATATATGTATATTTCCATCTTTACACATATACACCTGCAGAGAAAACGCACATCCACATGTCTCTATACCTATTTCCATGTATACTTATACTTACATATATACATATACACACAAGGACATCTGCATATCCATATATACTCATACGCACATATATATATATCTACACATCCATACGCATACACATATACACATATATACCCACACCCATATATGCATACGTACACACATACATATACATACACACACATATGCATACGCAATTTGCAGAATATCTACATACCCACATATGCGTTAATTCGCACTTACATATATCTACCCCCGTATTTGTCCCTATTCTCATGTCCACCCGTGCATCCAAAACAACCTAAACCTAAGCAAGTACACTAAGAAATAATCATATAGGAACAGCAATTTTGAATGCTTTATATTCCCTTTGTTTTTAGAAATATTACTATGCACACATGAACGATAACACATAACTGTATGTATACAACTATGATAATGTATTTGCACACTGAGACAACTGTTGATATGTACATGTATATGTTTTTATACGGAAAAAGAAGCATACCCCCTTTTTTTTTGTGAGTGTGGAGATGTACAATTAGTTAGGTACTTATATGTTTTGCCATAAATATGAAAGATCGGGTAATATTATAGGTGTAAAAACATAGATAATGTAATTAAATACTGAGATAGTCTTCGAACGCAGGCATAAGTGGATGCACGGGTGGACATGAGAATAGTCGTGTAATAAAATACAAAGAAACAACTAAAACCAGTATATATATATATATATATATATATATATATATATATATA